ACAGCGGACTCATTTTTTTCAAAGTCGCGCGCATCGCATGCGTGATTTAAATTTCATTGTTTTTTTTTCCTCGCCCAAGAATTATCGCTATTTCGCAAGAGATGGATAATCAATACCTCTACTTTGTAGCGAGTCAACGTGTTTTTACTCACGCTGATAATGTTTTCTAAATTGTTTCTTCTTCTTCTTATATATAAGTATTTTTGAGTGTTTTTCTTCACCTCATTGTCCCCCCGTTTGGGAGGCTCTGCTAAGCCTTCCGATACCCATTCGACTTGTTGGTTCCTAGTTATTTTCACAAATCTTTCTTGTTTTTTTTTCGATGCGTAGTTAAACATTGAATACACAGTGTGTGCACGTGCATGCACGTCAGGTGAAATTATTTTGTGTTAGCGGTTATTAGTAGTTGTTAGTTACAAAGGATTTGCATACAATTTTACGTAAAAAATGGAATGCAGTACTGCAAAACACTTAAAATGTTGACAACGGAATATGGTGAATCTACTTTGAGCAAAAAAAAATGTTTATAAGTGGAACAAGCTGTTCCAAGATGGCCGAGGAGACGAACTTTGCTCTGGACGCTCCAGCACGTCAATAACTGATGAAAGTGTTGAAAAAGTGAAACAAACAACGTTGATGGAATCATCGGGATCTGTATTGCCCGTGCCATGCAATTTTTTCCTATGTTTTCGGCATGAAACGTGTAGCAACAAAATTTGGTCTGAAAACACTTAAATTTGAACAAATGAAGCATCGAAGGAGCATCGCTCAAGAGCTGTTCAACTACGTCAATGATGATGCTGATATGGAAGAACCCAGAATCGCAAAGACCGAAAAAAGCACCTCAAGTTCGATCAAGTGCCAAAGTTTTGCCTACTGTTTTCTTTGATTATCATGGCGTAGTACATCAAGAGTTCTTACCACAAGGTTGTACGAACTTCTGCGCCGTTTGCAAGAAGCAATACGAAGAAAAGGTTCGGAATTGTGGGAAAACAATTCATGGATTTTGTATCGCGATCGTTGCTTGTGTCCAACTTTTTACCACTTTTTCTTGCTCCCAAAAATCTAAGAAGTGCTTACCAGAATTATATCTGAGGGGCGATTGCTTTGAAAAGGACAACGTGAATTTTGATAAATAAATAAATACTTTTTGATAAAACTTAGAAGTCACCTTACTATTGGAACACACCTCGTATATGTACAATTAATAGTTATAATTAGTGCTGAGGTTAGTTTTGGCTAATTTGGCTTGGCTTGTTCACGATTCAGGAACCTTAGTTAAATATTGAATTTACAGTGTGTGCAAAATAAAAAAAAATGGATGGAGCAAAACTGTAGAGATACGGTTAATGTCCGGTTTAAACATATTTTCTGACCAAATAGTAGTTATAACGATTGCATTCATTTCCATCGTGGTAATCAAAATTATTTCCATAAATTGACGTCAAACGAAATCTGAAATCTTATAGCTTTTAAAAAATAGTTCCAATCTGGTAATGATGGGAATGCCAAAATTTGATATTGTTTTCGATTAACAAATGCCACTTTCTTATCTACTCGTTTCGTCGAGATTGCGATTTTACTGCTTTATTTTAGCCCTCAGTAATCTCGAAAATGGCAAATGTCAACTTCAAACGAATGTTACTAGGTTATAATTACTAAATAATACATAAATTAATCGAATAGAATTGCTTTAGAAAAATCGGAAAATAAAACATTTAAATCCATCAAAATAGTTATTTTTCAATGCAAAAGCTAGTTGCAAAATCTTTCTTTAATATACGACACAGAAAAGAATTCACGCAATAATAAATAAAATAAATAAAAAAACAAATACAAATAGTAATTGTCGTTTTTCACAATTGAAAATGTTAATTCACTATAAAATGAAAATTAAAAGAGAAGGAAGACAACTTTCTGATATTGAGGAAAATGATAAATTTAAAAGGACTGCTAATATTTTGGAAACCGTAACAATGAGAGTATTCAATACCTACCATTTTCCTTTAGGTTGTAACTGGTTTATTAAACTAATTACAGTTTCGTTAGCAAGGCAGTAAAGTCTGACTTGTACAGTCTATAAAAAACTATACTGGTAGAGAACCCGAGCCAATTTGCAATTCAAGCAAGACAGTTTAAGCGTTGTTCATTAAACAATCGAATGACCTGTTATTTGTTCCTTTCAAAAAGAGGAATAATTGATTAGTATTACAAGATGGGAGCGCAGATTCGTTTTGAAGCAACGCGCATGCTGGTAGATATGAACTAGGATTGCTATGAATTATAGCAATGCTTTGATGATATCACAGGTCCGGCATAACAATTATTAATTGACTTCGTTCGCTCACTAATGCAAATTTCAATGTGCTTTCTCTGAAAAAAATTTATTACTTGCCGAGAGATATTAATTAACCCAACTAATTAATCACGGGCTACCCAAACTAAAGAATATCTAATAATACACAGACCAATGTTAAATGCTATGACAATTTTTCCCCAAAGTTTTTCATTCGAATGTTGTGTACATTATTACAATTTTAGACGCTATGAAAAATTCGGAAAATGTTCAGCCATTTTCGAGATAATAATTAGTTTTGGTTAGTTAGTTTTTAGAAATATGTATATTACGAAAATAGTTAAATATCTTACAAATACGTTAGGGTTTCGATAAAATATGCTACATAAAACACTTCAAAGTTTTTCTTAGAATTTCAAGCGATGTATTAGTAAGTAAGCCTTCAAACGCATTTGACCCCTGAATCCGCACTGCTATGAAGGCAAAGAAAATAATGGCTCGTAAACAACAAGGAAGTAACAACACTCATGTATAAGTATAACAACTTCATAGTATTTTAATAATTTTTTTCTTAACAATTAGACTACCTGTCACTTTTAATACGAACGAGAGAATGTATAATTAATCAGGTTCTCGAGAAAAATACAACAATTATTGGCATCATTATATCAATCCCCATTGTTTATTAAATTTACTAACAAACAATGAATCTAATTAATTGATCTAGTTAAATGTAATATCCGATTATAAAAAATGACACATGTGGACGATATATAAAAGAGTTATATTCACAAAAACTTTAGGCATACACGTATCACCTTATCTTTCCTCCACTTTTTCTGTGATGTCAGGTTGTTTATTCAATAACTACATACCATGGAGTTATTGAATTTGTGTCGTTTCATGCCGTTTTTGCATGCATGAGATTTGCATACTCATTCGTATGCGTCTCACAATCGCCTATATAGCGTCAGTTAATGTTGACTCTATACTTTATGATTAACAATATTACTAAAATGTTCCCTCCACAAACCTAGTATAAGAATAATTAATTAGAAATGTAAAAAACTGATTTCAAAATTTTCAAAACTCGGCAAGCAACATTAAAAACAAAATATACTTTCAGGTGCGCGGCATCCATTTTTATATTATTTATTCTCATTGAAAGAAACTTCTGTAGTTGAAATTTATTGTGTTTCATGAACTTAGTAATTAGTTTTGCTCAATTTTGAGCATTTTCCATTAGTCATTGTTTCTCTTCGCCTATTAAGACATTCTTATTAATAACGAATCCCAACAAGCTAAAGGCACAACACCAACTAACCCGTTTTGAGCTAGTGTTAATCTCAGCAACATTGCAACCGATTTACCTTCAGTAATACTCTTTGGAAATGATAATCATTTAACCCACGCAAAGTATAACATAACAATTAAACTTAATAACATAAAATTGCCACTCTCTGATTCATGCAAAAGCTTGGGTCTCACTCTTGATTCGCAGTTGCGGTTCAGAGAACATATTACTAATAAACTAAGGGTTGCCTATGCTAATTTAAGATTAATTTATGGCAATAGACATGTACTTTGTCACAATTTAATGACTGCAGTGCTGCGTACGGACCGTGCCTGGATGCGTCCGATCGTTACCGTGTCCAGAAGGTTCAAAACTCCTGTCTAAGGCTAATTTATGGGGTAAGGAGGAGAGATCATATCTCTTTATTTCAAAATTCTTAAAACAAAATTACCTTTTTATTTTTACAGAAAAATTACTCTTAACATATCAATACACAATTTGAATCTGCGTGGAAGACACTGACTAGTTATACCCCGTCACCGCAAATAATTATTTAAAAGATTCCTATAATATAGCCATTTGCATTAACTCTATTGCTAATTTTGATATTAATCAGTCCAACTCGACGTTTAGGAACAATTTCAAAAAGCAGTTGTTACGTACGCGCTAATATTAAGCTCTTCTACAAAACACGTGCCCCTTTCCTTTCCTTTCCTTCCCCCTCCATCTCTTCTCTTTTCTTTTCTTTAGAATTATGTGTATCTACGCTTGGCAACTGTCGGTTTAATACAGTCCATTTATCTCGCCAAAGAACTCTTTTAAGAACAATGAACATAATTGGGTATGTGAATGCTATTTTAATTGTGGAGGTAGTTGAAGTATTTGGTTAAATACGGATGTAACTTCAAACATCAGGACATTAAAATATTTGCGGAGGCATTACTAGTACACACAGTATATTTTTTTAAATACTACCCTATCTACACAATATATTCTGCTCTAACAGTGCATTATTTTCGTGATTTTTAACCAAATGCAATGCTAAAATCATGTAATTTTCTTTTACATAGAAGTATATGCTATAGACACGTACTACAACACATGATATAACAGAAGCACCTATCACTGACTTGTGAAGAAAACTACACGTTTCACAAATATTACCTGCATAAATTACAATATCATCCAAAATCTTCATTTAAGATGACGCAAATACTGCTAAAGCAGTAGATAATTCTACAATGTGGCACCTTCGTCTAGGGAAGGGCAGTAAATGCTTGCCAGAATGTGATACATACATACATACATAACCTAACTATACAAATTTTTATATGGACAATAGCCACAATCAGCGGTTCTTCAGATACCTTTTCGAAGATTCATTTAGCAATAATATACTTACGATTTCAGGTTCAAAAACAATAACAAAAATGTTGGAGCTAACAAAGAAACTAGCTTTCCTCTACCAACCGTACGTCTTGGCGATAGTGTCCATCGGCTACGTGGTCGGAGAACTGGGACACTACATGATAGGCGTGACGAGCAAAGCGATAGCTATGGACCTCCATTTCGGCGACATCACGTGCCAACTCAACACCACCGAATATTTCATAAGCGATTTGCCCATTGCTTGCTCGGAAGCCAACAACTCGGAGACGTGTTTGTCTTACAACATCAACGGGACCCCGTATTGCGAGTGGAACTACAACGGTCTTGGTATCGATTACCAAGTGCTCGCCGGACCTAGTTTCATTGCGGTGTTCACCATTGTGGGCGTTCTCATGGGGTATTTGGCCGACAAATTCAACAGGTGAGTCGCGCGAGTGACTTCTACATCAGCGGGATGACAGCTCACTGATGCTAGGTCAGTATTAATACAATACAATACAGTTTTGTTCAAACAGCACACCCGAAACAGACCTGTTAGCTCGGGGGAAGCTAAGTGACAAGAAGGCATCAATAAGTGTTCTGAATTTCATTCTAATTATGCGTACAGTATTGTGCTGAATAGCCAACGTCTTATCTCAATTTCCCTAAGAGATTAGCACACCCCTATGGCTCACCCAAAATTTATATAGCCTTCCTCAAAGCCGTATCAAAATTATATTTCGTAAAATGTTAAGAAGATGCTCAATAAGCATTTGAAACATTAAAACTAACCATCTAACGACAATATACTTTAAGTTCATCTTGCCTCATTGGAAATGTAAGGGTTATTAAAGTATCGTAGTACTTGCATTACATAATGATAATATAACGTAAATCCGTATGTAGCATATCAATTTTTTTCTCTGATTGATAAGTAAACAAAATGATGTAAGTGAACTGGAAATAAAAGTAAAGACAGCAAATGTAATATTCAGAATATTTCTATCAAACATATCTTGTCAGCGTTTATTAGTAATCATGAGACTGTGTAAAGAATTTTTCCTTGTAAAGGTTTACAGGAAAAAATGGTAGAGATTTTTATGGGACGACTTTTGTTTTTGACTTTTTGCATTATATGTAGTTATATTTGCCCAAAATATTTTCTCTACTGTAAGTACTATTTCAAAGTAAAAAAACTTTGAACGTTAGTTGGCTCATATCCAGTATGCTATTTTGGTGGTTAAGTGAGCACAAATTTCTGGGATATTGCACTGAGGTGGCTTCTACTTGATGAAAATCCATTTATCAAAATAAATAAGAACTGAGAGTTCAGATTTTCGCGAAATTATATATTTTGACATGACAATTGTTCATGACAATCTGAACATTTATTTCTGATTTATTTTGAATACTGATGTTGTGTATTTTCTGTGAACTGTAACTTGTTAGTTTATTTACAGCATTTTTTTTATGTATAAATTCATATAACTACTGTCTAGCTTCAAATTATCTCCCGAGCACGTGCTACCTTTTTTTTTAAACAGTCATATACTCCGTGTCCATATTCTTAACACGTTTTGTCTACGATCGAAGTAAAAAACATTCGAATTCACGAATTGATAGCTAGTAGTGTTAGCGGCCACGTTGGACATCAGGCTTCAAGTTATTGGTGCATGCGCGGGGAAAATATCAATCCTGCGTATTCTCTTATGTTCGTAAGACATCTATTTATCTCGAGCTATATGTATAAATTTATCTTTTTATTCTTCTTAACACTATATAAGGGGCTTTTACATTTTGAAACTAAAGCTTTGGAGATACTAGCAGATTCATCACCAAAATTGCGTCCAGAAAGAACGATACTGGTGGTGGACTACTATAGTTTGGACCCTGTGGTTAATTTTGCAGCCAACATACAACTAAAAGTCTGCATTTAGCTACCAACGGAGTTATCTTCCTCTGGGCTTTCTGTTTAAATTTTTATTCACTTTTTTTTAGCGGTCGCAGCACATTTTTGAATTGTTTTGTTATTATTGCGTATTTGTGAGACACTGTGATGTACTAAATAGATTAGAACTTTTAAAATGTTTAGTTTAGTTTGAGTACGTTCCTTGACAAACCCAACCTAGAAAAAAGAAATCACTCCATGATCAAAAGTATATTTGCCGTTGCTCTAAGTAAAATAATCTCTTTCGTTGAACTTATACGAAGCAAATTGGCGGGCAACTCAAGGTCAATCATGTTGCAAATTCCCATGTCGAATTATTTAACAGAAAACATTCCAACGAGCCAATTAGTGGAGCTTCGACGTCAAAAACTAAATCTTGTGGGAAAAAAATCGATCTTTTGCAATTAAAACGAATCCGAACGCGTAAATTGCCCGCGACTGTCGACGAATACATAAATAATTTCACAGTTTTACTCTTGACAATTACGGTGCGGAAAATAAACCGTAAACGAATGATAAACAAAACCCATAGATTATTTGCGATTTTCTCCGTGTAATCCGACGAAACTTGCATTGTTTTTCCCGCATTGTGTCCCCTTTTTTATGCGATTAACAAGTCGTCGTTGGAGTCTTGGCCGCGGGTATTGGTATGGGTAATTGCATAGTCGCGGATTGCAACTGCAATTTGTTATTCGACCCGTGATCACGAGCGCTGAATGTTAAGGCTAAGATATAGCAGATTGCTTTGCGATTGAATGCGATTAGTCGACCTTTCAACTCACCGGAGTGGTGGTCATTTTCAATTTGTCGACCGCATAAAATTACTAAATAATATAATAATAATAAAGAAATTTTCAAGAATAATCAATGTCCCTCCTAACCTCCAAGGATGATTCCCCTAACCTGATTTTCAAATCCTCTATTCTTCTCTAGCGAGGTTGGAGACCAATATGGCAAAGTCTTCCCAATTGCGGGCTCCATGAAGTAGTGTGTTACCACCGGTATGTGTGTGTCCAGTCTCTGATATTTCTGAGCCACAATTTGTTCTTTCTTCTACACTTCTACCCTCTGTGGGGATATATATCATCTCCATCTATTCCTAACTAACCCAACAAATTACACATTCCAAACCAGAACTAACTATAGGTTCGCCACTTGTCGACAGATGGCAGCACATGTTATCACTTATAGATGGCAGCACAAAGAAATTGCAGATCCCCAACTCCCACAGAATAAGTTTCGCCTCTCACATACAGCACGGCAAAGAATTATAGATTGCAAACTTAGCAAAAATTTCGCTCTTTGGAAACTGCAATCTGGTTAGAGCAACCGTCTGTATGCGCGGCGAAACTTTGTTGGTTGGAAGATGTGCTGCCATCTGTGATGCGAAACTTTGGTTAGTTTTGGATAGGAACCTGTAATTTCTTTGGTTAGTTACTAATCTGTAATTTCATTATCTCACGATGTTATCCTTGGTCAATGGTGGTGGATTTTCGTTTTTTAAATTAATGTACCAAAAAAACGTCTCCACGAATGTCAAAATAAAATTCAAACTTTATAGAAATCTACTAATTAGACTACTTTAAGCGGACCCAGTTCCAACATTGAATTGAAACAAAAAAAATGTCCTACCAAATAAACTATAAATAGCGACTTGTTTCTGAAATGATTAACCTACAAAAACATAATTATTATTTGCAAAATTCTGAAAACGACTAAAATGTTTATTTGGTTTGCATAGGAATGGGCATAATTTTTTACGCACCACTTGCATCGCAAAATACTAAATTAAAATTAAATCTCGCAACGTATAAAAACATAATTTGTTCTACAATTTGTCATAAAGCGGAATGTCATAAGCTAATTGAGATAAATATCTAACCCGCGATATATAGAAATGTTACGGTACTGCATTCCGGTTGCTTGCTTGAAGGAATTGCGCACATGCATCCCATTCCAGAGTATTTTTTTAGTGTTCGAATAGATGAACTACTAACAACTGTTGTTCGCTCTTTAGTACAACGAAAAGGATTGGCAAGTAGTTTTCAAGTCATTTGAGACTGTATCAAAAAAAATAAATGAATTATTATTACACTAATTGACATTTTATAATTTTGAAAAAAATTCTCCTAACATTTTGAAAGTTTGACCGAAGAATAATTGAAGGTGTCAAAACAATGAAGTAAAATCATTTTGGGTAATTTAAAACAAAACGCCCTCTATATAAGTATAAAGAATGGTATTTAAAGCATTTTAAGTAAAATATTCATACTGTACATAAAACTAATATTTGCATCAAAAATAGCAGTCTGCCATCTAGGCATACTCCAGTTCCTTTAGACATTTAGAACAAAACTTCAGACAAGGATTTCTTTGTATATTATTTGTCTAGATACTTATCCACCATTTAAGTATTAAAGAAAGGCAAAAATGCGTTTGCGGAAATATGCTAATGAAAACGAATCAAGGCCACTTTATAATTTATTTTTTAATTTATTTAAATTTTTTGACAGCCCGGGTGTAATTTTATTTATTTGGTGCTGAACGTTAAAAGAGTAAAAAAGATGTAGATTGTAGTTTAGATTGTAGAATAGCCCGACATTTGTAATATAGATACTATGCATAACTCTTATTTGATCTTACAGAAAAGGTTTATCAAAAAACATAGTCCAACATTCGACATCCAGAAAAATAGAAAAAAATCATATTTGTTAATTGTCTAAAATTAGATATATTTCCTATCAAAGGATCCACAAAATAAATGTTGAGGAAAACAACTCAAGAGTGAAAAAAGTTTTCACAAAATATTATGCACGGAGTTCCACAGGGTTCCGATATGGGTCCATTATTGTTTTTAGTTTATACAAGTTAATTCCAAATCAAATCACCATTTGCTATTAAAAATTTTTTAAACCAAAATAAAATCTTTTTTTTTGGGAGCATTGTTTTTACTCTATAGAGGAATACAAACTGAAGATAACCCGATTACCAGATTTTTTTTTCATTTATATTCCTGTTTGTTTTTATATGTTATGTAATAGATTGTTATACCTATTATTATTGTAGAGTTTATCTAATCGTATGTATAAGAAAGAAAACTAACTAGCTCACCCAAACAGTGCTACTTGTTAAAATACCTTCCAGAACGGCACTGAATTTCACAATTTTACTTAGTATATTGTAAAAAAGCCTTTTTGTCGTAATTAACCAATATTTTCATTCCATTTTTTAATGTACGTCTAGTGTACAAGGGCTTCGATCATCTTGTTGTCATCTTAAGAATTAATCAGGAGTTAAGCGAGTTGCAATTATAATTTTCTCATACTATAATTGCCCCCACAGAGGGCGTACCACATCCTCTTAATCAGATTTGTTTATTTATAAAATCACTAGCCCTCAGAAAAATTCAATTGGACGATTGACGATATTCCAGGGTCAAAATGTTGGGAGGCTGCACGGTGATCTTCTCCATCGCCATTATCCTCAGCGGCGGCGTCAACGAGTTTTGGCAACTCGTCCTGCTTCGCATGATAATGGCAGCTGGCGAGTCCGCGTGCAATCCCCTTGCGACCGGTATCCTCTCCGACATATTTCCGGAAGAGAAAAGGGCTCTGGTGATGTCCATATTCAACTGGGGCATCTACGGCGGATACGGTAAGACCTTGAAAAAGAGCAGCGAAGAATGACGAGCGCAAAACTACAATTAAAATTAGAAAGGATTCAACAAAGATTCAAATGCGTTGAAACTATTTTTTAATTTTCAGACAGCTAAAATAATTTCTTTAAAATGTATAAAACACACAAAATGGTTATTAAAATTTAATAAAAAATTAAATTTCTTAAGAACATTTGAGGACACTGAAAATTGGTAAAGATTCATCCTTTTTTTTGTTTGTTTTGAATACATAGAATTTAATAATAAAGGTAAAATAAAAAAAAATGTTTTTATACTTGAAATTTTTAAGAAAAAAAATGCTGTATCCTGTTTACCATCCTCCATAATAAAGATGAAACCTTAAAATCTCACTTTCAGAAACTTAAGTAAACTTTGTAATATTTTTATTTAATTAGTTGATTAATTCTATTTAAACCTTTTTAAAAACATGAATTTTAAAAGAAACATTCTTTCCATTTTCAGGTATCGCATTCCCTGTTGGTAGATATGTACCACCCATGAACACCTTGGGATTGGGCTGGAGGATATGTTACTACTCGTCGGGCATAGTTGCCCTTATCGTGGCATTTTTGACGTGGTTTACTCTGAAGGAACCCGAGAGACAGTCGATCGGTGAAGATGCCGCTGCTCAGAATGACCCCAATGCGAAAAAAGTGACTATTTGGTGAGTATAATTGGTACAATTTCCTTACGTTTTTATTTTATTTACTAAACCATTTTATTGATTTTGGTTTGGTTTCAAAGAAAATTCGTCACCACCACTATACTTTTTTTTCTTGACCAGTTTAATACATTAAAATTTTGCTAAGCTTTGTAGCTAACGGAAACTTTTTGGAATCGCACTGTATATGTTTAAGGTATTTTACGAAGGCTTGGACGTTTGGGAATAGAACTTAGAGGTCGAATATTATAGAAATCCTTCAAGAACTGTCTGAAGTCCGACCAGATAAGGGATCTTGACTTGAGAATAGCAATTATCGCTTGTCTTATTGTTAGATACTGCCACCCATTATTAAAGAATAATAAACTCCGACTTTTTGCTTTTTTCCTTTCAGAAACTTTTTGGACAAACTTTGCAGCTAATGCTAAGAATGAAACTAATGTTCTGGTAAAATAATTATCTGCCGCTGTTGTCTACCAATATCCATACTAAACCCACTATTAAGGAGAGGTTATTAGAAGGTTAAAATTTATACCCCACAGGTGGAATTTATAGGGCATTAATGCGGTCATCATTTTACACAATATTTACTATACAGTGTGCAACTAGTAATTAGTTCCTGTACGTGTATTTATCTTGAAACAATAAAACAAAGATTTGCAGGAAATTTGTTCTGTCGATATCGATATCGAAGAGTGGCGTCAATATATATTGTTGAGACCTGAAATAATTTCCCTAATTTTCGGCTGACACAGGCCCCAATTTAAATTCTTATTGAATATTTAGAAAACTCAATTTAATATAATCAAATGAAGTATTGTGCTGGATAAAGCCCCTTGTATCCCCTATGATCTACTACGAATGAACCTTAAAAAGCTTATACAAGTAAAAAATTATGTTATAATGTTAATAGGTTGAAGGTGGAGCGACAATTATCACTACATGTCACTATATGTTTTAACGTAACGGGTCATTTTTTTAAGGACCGTGATGAGTGAACCCAGAATCATCATGCTCTGTCTAGCAGCTTCAATCAGACACTGCGGAGGGATGTGTTTCGCGTATAACTGCGATCTGTTCTACCAAATGTATTATCCCGATTACGATTTGGGTGAGTTGCGATATCCGGAACAGCCCCACAGGAACCAAAACATGTTTGTTGACAGGTTGGTGGCTGTTTGCGGTTACTATTATAGTAGGCAGCATCGGCGTGGTCGTGGGGGGCGTGGTCTCTGACAAATTCGTCGCCAAAATGGGCATACGATCCAGGGTAGTAATCCTGGCGGTTAGTCAAATCTGTGCGACGCCATTCGCCTTCGGCAGCGTCTATTTCTCACCAGTGGGTGCCATGATCACTCTCGGAGTATCCTATTTCTTCGGTAATATTAAGATATTTTTTTATACTATACAAAAAAATACAAGGACAATTTGGACAACACCCGACATCTTAAAAGTCATAAAATTTATTAAGAGGATCGCCTTGCACTGAGGAAAACCCATGTTTTATAGTTATTCTGTCATCTAGAAGCTGTCCCCTTAATAACTAATTTGTACAATTATCTTAATAAATTTTGTACCGAAATGGTCGAGTCGTTGAGGTTGTTGTACGCAATAGCGGCCAACTCACTCCGCATTGCTTTAGACTGCTCTATACCTCTTTGGTTCGCTCTAGGCTGGAGTATGGATCTGTGGTATGATCCCTGTATTATTCCAGCCATATAGACAGCCAGAAAGTGTATGGGTATCAGTTCAACTTCAGTATTACAACTAAGGCCTTCAATATTGATTAAAGAGTGATTTAGTTTTTCTCTTCGAGATTTTGAATGGTCGGTTATATTGTCCAACTCTTTTACATAGCATACAATTTAACTCATATTACACGAAGCTGTTAACCCCTTGCAAGAACGCTGAAAGCGTGTAACTGTCTAAAGCTTTCGCCTTTAATGAAAGTAAAATTTTTGCAAATTGGTTAAACCGTAAATAAAATTAAATCAATTTCTTCCGAGCGCAGCTGAGATGTGGTTCGGCATATTGTTCGCCATCTTGGTCGAGATCGTGCCCCTCCATGTGCGCTCCACTACAGTCGGAGTGTTTCTCTTCGTGATGAACAACGTGGGAGGCAATCTTCCCATTGCCGTGGAACCGGTGTCCAAATCGATCGGTTACAGAGAGAGCTTGTACATATTCTACGCGGGATTTTACGGAATTAGTACGTAAAACTTCAAATTTTATAATATTTATGCGCCCTCGGGTCTATTGGAAAAATACTTTAAGTCAGATTATTAGTTTTTCCATCGATGGCTTAGTCGTTAAACCCAAGAGCGAAAATATGTGATAGATACAACGAACACACGCAGCTTTTACTTTAAATACAGCATGTATAAGGTTATTCGGAAAGTCATTTCGTTTTTTCCCGTCAGAGGACTTAATTACGTTTTTTCGAAACCAACTTCACACTTAAGCCGCATAACCACTATATGTCTTGAGAGCTGATATTGCAAGGCTTGTGTGTGAAAAAGTTCTATTAATTCTACGCAGTAGTTTTTGGTTGGTGCCCTTTTAAATATGGAGAGCAATAAGCAGCATTTTCGTCATATTTTACTTTTTTACTTCAGAAAAGGTAAAAATACTGTCCAAGCGAGAAAAAAATTGACGCATGTGTATGGAGAAGGCGTGTTAACAGTACGCCAGTGCCAGAACTGGTTTGCAAAATTTCGATCCGGCAATTTTGATGTCAAAGATGCACCACGGTCTGGAAGGCCGGTCGAAGCTGACAAAGATGCGATAAAGGCATTAGTTGATGCAAATCGGCGAATAACCACACGAGAGATCGGTTAGAGATTAAATTTGTCGAATTCGACTGTTTATGGCCATTTGAAAGGCATGGGCTTAACCTCGTAGCTCGATGTGTGGGTGCCCCATGTCCTTACGGAGCGAAATTTGTGTCGTCGCGTTGACGTGTGTGATTCGCTCCTCAAACGTCAAGAAAATGATCCATTTTTGAAGCGGATTATTACTGGGGACGAAAAATGGGTTGTATACAACAATGTTAAACGCAAGAGGTCATGGAGCAGAAAAGATGAACCGGCTCAAAGCGTATCAAAAGCCAACATTCACTAAAAAAGGTGATGCTCTCCGTTTGGTGGGATGTCAAAGGAATCTTTTTTTTTGAGCTTTTGCCGGACAATACAACGATTAATTCAGAAGTCTATTGTCATCAACTGGACAAATTGAATGATTCACTTAAAGAGAAGAGGCCCGAATTAATCAACAGGAAGCGTGTAGTGTTCCACCAGGAAAATGCGAGACCTCACACAAGTTTGGTCACTCGCCAAAAACTTTTACAGCTTGAATGGGACGTACTGCAACATCCACCATATTCTCCAGATCTGGCGCCTTCCGACTACTATTTGTTCCGGTCCCTACAAAATTTTTTGGATGGCAAAACCTTTACCTCAAATGAAGATGTCAAAAACCACCTGAACCAGTTTTTTGCCAGCAAGGACCAAAACTTTTATGAGAGGGGAATTATGTTACTGCCAGAAAGATGGCAAAAGGTGTCTTACCAGAATGGCCAATATATATAATTTAATAAAATATTTATTCATTATACGAAAACTGTCTTTCATGTTCCCCAAAAAAAACGAAATGACTTTCCGAACAACCCAATAGCATCTCCAGTTTCTGAATTTCCCATTAGACGTTTAAACCAAATTTGGATGAAAGTTTTTTACAAAAAGTGAAAAGTTTTTATGTTTATAATAATTTTGGCATTAGCGACATAAAATTGACATACCGGAATTGCCTTTAGGTGAACTGAATTAACTGAACATTAAATAATAAAAATACAACACAAGCAGTGAAACGTTGATCGCAAATTTCTCGAAAGTGGTTAATATTGAACAACAGAATAAAAAATGTTCCGTTTGATTTTTAGACATACAAAAATTCGACATTTTTTGCTTCTACCGATTGGCTTCACCTACCGCCCTCTACGAATTACATTAATTTCCATATTCCATATTCTCATGTAGAAAACCCCCCGGACGTCAATGTTTATGTTACTAGTGCCAATATTATGATAATAATAGCAATTTTTTTAAAGTTTAGTCCCCGTATGTCATAAACAAGCAACATCAGCATCTCCAAATGTGCTCCCTTCCGTATTCCGTTTTTATTTCCATCCGAAAAGGATTTTTTTTAATGGAATCGCAGTGTTCCGCCGCAGTACTAAGATCTACGGCAGTAGCTACCATTTTACTTAATGAAAAAAAAGCAAAACAGAAAACAAAATTTATCTTTTAAATAAAATAATAAGATTACGGCTTAATATAGTGTTTCCTTCTCGAGCCTTTTTATTATCTATCTATTTAATATCTATCTATTTTCTATTAGTCTCTGTATAGTTATTACACATTATAAATGATCATCAAACAAAAAAAATAACAAAACTGTCATATAAACTTGCTTTTGGACAATGTTAAAATTAGAGGAGTACAAAATTATAAGTACTTAGGACTAATCTTAACAAATAAACCTGATTGCAACATACATGTCAACCAAATCATAAAAAAAATCTCCTATCGCTATAAAACCTTACATTTTAAATTTCGCACATGCGCTTTTTCTTTATGGACATTCTCAAAAAAATTTTCATACTTGCTTCGCAAAGTTTCCTGTTTTATCGGCTTCTTCAGTTCTTCAAATAATATGTAAGTACGTGAATCTTTTAAGTTTGTATTTAGTGATTGATTGATCTTTAGGTTCGCTCATGTTCCTGATGACCGTTTTCTTGATGCCCGGAGCGGGAGACTCGGACAACAGTCCGCCGCCCACGAAAGAGCTTAACGGTGTCGACAATGTGGTCTTTACACCGGAAGAGACCAACTTGCCGACAATAACGGCGCTAGTCAGAAACACCAAAAGAAACGGGAACGAGAGCAGCAGACTGTAGAGCGATCGCAAGTAGGCAGGGCGCGCCTCTTGGGTGCGTTGATTGTTATCCCCCCTTCCCCATCAAATATTTTAAGTGAATTGGACAACGAAAGTAGTTTTAAAAATAAGAAATACGCAAATTTGAAATAATTTATGGGTGAAATTCACACCGGATCCAGGCGCGCCCCTGGAATTATGAAATGATGGAAGCGGATAGTTAAATTAATGGAAAATAATGGATTAATACGTTAAGAATCTGTGCTGATGTTCACTTTTTTCTTTGAAGATATTATTGTTGTGATATGACGAAGTTTGTTACGTTTTTCTAATTAGGGCGGTGTACATACTATTTTTATATTAGAAGATTAGGTATTGCCCTAGGTCGCTTAAATATATATTTTTTGTAGATCCAATGCGATATGCTAAAAAATTAATAAAATTTGATTTTAACTAGTGTTTTTTGCAATTTAGTAACCTATTACAGCAATTATATTAATATATAATGTTTTTTTTATCAAACGTATAATTCATGTCTATGACACTATCTCCAGAACCGTTATAAATATAATTTTGTGATTGTGATGATGTGTGATTTGGCGCGTGCCCCTAGCAGACATGCCCAACGTTACGTAAATTGTAAAGAAGAATTTCTATGAACTATTTACATAAATAAAATTGAGGTCACCACATGGATTCTGTGGTGGAGCATTGCACGCGGCGGTTTAACCTCCGTTCGCTCCCGACAGAATCCCTTGTATTCGTCCTCAAAAGTTTGATATCGGTTTCCACTGTGTGGACTTAGTGTTGTTAGTGTTCAGTGCATGTTTTAAAGTTATAATCGTCGTCGGCCCCGTCGTTTTTCCCCGTTCACGCCGGTATGGAGGCCGGATGGGCCCGGATGGTCCGTGGTGGAAGCGGGGGGTGTCGGTTTTTTTTGGTATCGGTCAAATTTGTTTTTTTGCTAGTTGAGCAAATATTGGTTATATGTCTTCTTTGTACGTGTTGGTCAATGACCAAAAGCGAAGATCCTCGACGGAAGTCGGCAATGGGCGAATGATCCTAGCAGTCGAGCCCAACATTTTTTTGTGAAACGCATAATTGAATTGAATTGAATTAGGTCACCACATTTCTTAAAAAACCCTTATAAGTCGTAGTTCATCTTAGTTGCACCGAATTTTTCAACATTCACCAAAATGTTAGTTACCAGCACACTGTGTTTTAGAAGCCGCCGGTATTTTGGCAAGCAGAAAATTGATGTTTGCTTTTACAGTAAAGTTACTAGTTAAATGATGGATGACGGGCATGGGCGAAATTATTGAAACATCTGAAATGCGGAATTATATATATAAATGCAAATTACAAAAATAATTGAGTATTTGAGACAAAAACAAACTGTTGAATTTGCTTCAGCAGTGAACGCACCTAATGAGACCTCTAGCGACAAAAATTGTTAACATTCATTGCAGGTAATTTTACTTTGTTTTCGTGTGTGTTGGCGTAGAAATTGACTATCCACTGTTCAACGTTAAAGGAAAAGCTTACTGCTTACAAAACAAAACACAACACGGCTTGTTGCGTTTCCGGACGTAAATCAAGGAAAGGAACTGACCGGAACATTCATTTTCATCGTTTTCCAGCGAAAGACAGTGGAATTAAAGTGAAGGTGGTTAAAGTTTTTTTTGTCAGGTCAGCAGCCAAAACTTAGCAAGTGTGCGGTTCCATCACAGAATCTACCTTCAAGAATATTGTGCAAAAAACCCTAAGGTGGAATCAACATTCTGTGAGGAAAAATTGATGTATCCGAGAGCAAGAAACAGAGGAGTTTGTGCCGAGGTGTTATGACCAGTTATCAGGAGATGAGAAAGTTACTCAAGTTTATTAAACGGGATAGGCAAAAACTTTTTATACAAGTATGATTTTTTCGCTATGACTTCTGAAGATACCAATAAAAACAAATGAGCCCTGCAAATGTGTAAAAAATTAACAACTTCACTTTTTTAAGTGGAACAAGTACTTTTTAAATATATAGTTTGTCAGTGTTTGATGTAGCTGTTTTTAAAATAACTCGTTTATCATCGTTCGATCGTTAATCATCAATATCACTATTGTCCTTGGAAACAAAACATTGTTTATAAGTTTTGATGGCTCCCTGAGAGGTAGTAAGTGCCACGATGATAATTATAATTTATAGAAACAATATTTCTTTATAATTTATTATTTGAAATGTCAAAAACATGAAAATATGTACTGCAAGTTTGACTTCGACACCAATGTTTTCCCGGCCAACATATCTAGAAACAATATAGAATGTTGTTCATTGATTTGATGAGTCAAAAAGTATTAATATATAAAAAAAACTGTGGTTGGAAATCGGTAGGAAGAATTAAACACGCTGTTTCAATTTGAAGGTGAATTTAAGGTAAAAGGAACAGGACAAAAACAAGGGTTGTATTAATTTTCTAGAAAAATTTAGAAAAATACTTTAAAAAACACCATATCCCCCTTGTTGCTAGTAAAAAATTTGCTCTTATGATCCAGCCACTTCAATATTGTCAAGAAAAATATGTTTGAATGTTTATGTGAGTTTTGGAGTGGCACTGTTAGATTACCGCCGAATAGAATAAAATTTTAAGACAGTGAACTGAAGACGTATGTAGAATAAAAAACTGGCCAAGCAGCATAATATTGTGGGTATTTTATATACTTAATAAGACCAAATTCTTGAAAAATAAACATTTCTGAAAGGAAGTAAAATACGGAGACTGTATATCTGCTTTAAAATTCCTTTCCCCAATTACATTTATTTCGCAAATGACATGATCTTGTTGATTTGTGAAATTTATTAATTTGCAGACGAATGTAATTAGGGACGATGTACCATTTAGTTAAAAAATATTGACCGAATTGTCTTCATACCAAAGAATATAAAGCCATCTAAAATGTAAAAAATAATCAAAGCATTTTACATAGCTATTATGGGCAGTTTATTTTTCACTCCAAAGGATAATTTGAAAAAAGTCACAATAACTAATAACTTCCAGAAATCGACAAGATACGCTAAAGATAAAACCGAGACACAACGATTTTCCAATTCTAACTTTACGGAAATGCCATTTATTTGGTGCAATATATGTAACAACAAAGAATACGCAAAACACAACAGAACGTTGATTTAGTTTCACTCCGTGGCGTAATAATTTAGAAATTAAATATAATAAATACTCAAACGGTTAAATAGCAATGCTGAATGAAATTCAGAATGTGGCCTGATCCTTTATCACAGAAGATAGATTACATTCCGTAACATTTTTTTTTCGCTTATTGAAATTTTCCTTGCTTGTATTGTGACGTCATAGCTTAGCCCTCTAGAAAATGCTAGAGTTTACTTTAACTATATAACTATTAGTAAAAATTGATACGCCGAAGATGACATGATATTTTAGTACAGTTGGGAATGATCTTTCGAACGTTCGTGACAACCGGCAGTTCCGATATTATCGCGAGTTTTATGGAAAATTGATTTATTTTTATAAAAACGCGATATCAGTTTGTAAAAAAGTTGATATTGTCACAGGATACTAACGCTCCTGTGGCTTTGTTTTGATTTTTGGTGTTTAGGTGATTATGTCCGTATTTTTTCGTGTTTTTGTGATAAAAACTCCCACCCATTGGAAAAGTTGTTTTAGTGCTCACAACTGCAAAAAACGAATGTTTCTAGACACAGGTAAGTGTTGCTTTATGTATAAGTTAATTTAAAAGATTTAAAAGTAGTTTATATATATATTTATATATGGGACTCCCCACTTTGCTCTTTCATAAAATAATAACAACGCGCTATGCACTTTAATTCCTTTTTGCTACGCTCGACTTCATCGGGCGCTAAAATGTATTTATTTGCGCTACGTCTCGCTTGTGTTCGTCTTAACGCGTATAGAGTGCAGATCTGCTCGAACTAGTAGAAATACGAATCTCATTGCTACAAAATACGCGTGTGGAGGGCACTAATATTTTCAGTTTGGCACTAGACAGGTGTTAAAGTAGCCACCAAAAACGATTCTAAAATATTTAAAAAATTTGTTTGTCTTCTACCAGTCTTTTAAAAATCGTTTGAAATTCCCCTTCCGGTAGTCTAACTCACACAGTAGTGCTAAAACAAATTGCTCATCTTATAAAAAGTTGCCTGAATTTTTTGCAATAAACATTTTAATCGAGATCGTTTCGATGTAAATTATCATATGTAAATTTATTTTAGTAAATTAACGCTTTGTCGCCAAGTCAACCACAGTGAAGCACGTATATGAGAACCGTTCTTTAATAGAATCCCAGAAAATACGGTCGTAAAATTCTGCATCCAAACTTTGACGACTGTTAGTTAAAAATTGTTGGTTAAAAACGAGATTTTAAATATCGGGCATGCGCAAGTTGAATTTACCTTCTCAATTTTTTTGTTAGTTGCGTCATATGATCCAGTAGTAGGAATATTGGCAAGACCTCTTATCTCTAGTAGCTATTCGACTTACTTAGCTTACCAAAACTTCCCCTGAAATCGCCTCAGTTGTGTGGGATTTAATTTTCCCGACGAATGTAGTGAATCATTGCACATGGCGGTTTACCTCCGTTCGATTACTGTATCCGTCGCAAAAAACTCTGATATCAGTTCTTTTTCGTATTATTTTTGTTTGCGAAGTACTTGGTGAATGTTTTAAAGTGTTTTAGTGTGTCGGTCCCGCTGTTTTTGCAATTCCCGCCGCTTAAAGGGCGGATGGGTCCGCATTGTCCGTGGTGTAAGCAGGGGAAGCCGTGTTTTTTTTTGGTATCGGTCAAAGTCCTTTTTTTGCTAGCTGAGAACAAATGTTGCGTATATTTCTTTTTACGTGTTGACCTGTTACCAAAAGAAAAATCCTCGGCAGATGCCGGAACATGGGCGAATGTCCACAACAGTCTTGCCCAGCCAAGAGCAAATTGGTTTCCCCTTCTGGTACTGAGATTAATAGGTTAAGTTTTTGTTCAATTTTTGTTTTTTCGTTAATCATTTAAAAATAAAGTTTAAAGCTATCTGTCGCATCGTTCAAAGCATGTCGGAAAAAGAAAAACAGTCGTCTAACTCGTGTCCACCTACTAAACCTCGGAAATCTTCGGTATTAAAAATTTACGAAAAATCTGTTTTAACTGCCTTTAAGTTCGACTGCGAAAATTTTTTAGAATATTTCGAATCACTAAAGTCGTTTCATTACACAGATTTTGCAAACTTATGGCAAGTTCGCCAATTTACGTATATTTACGCGTAAGTCAACATGGCCAAAATTTAATTGAAACAAATCAAATTGAAATTTCGTTGATTTTAGTGATCAGAATTATGTGACCGAGTTAACAACTTTGTGTGAAGTTGCATTTTCTACAGTGAAGAAATATATTGTTTTTCGGGACAACCCATATATTAAAATGGGAGCCTTTTACTTGTTATATGGTTTATACTACAAGCAGCCAATAAAGTAGGTAAACTATTTTATACGAAACATATTAATTTCTTGGCCAACTTTTAGGGGTTTGGTTAAAATTCGTTTGACTTTGAGCGAATTCAAGTCCATTAAGGAACTGATGTACATGGCAAAAAGTCAAAATCATTTTGAGCCCTTGTACATCTTTGCCAAAATGAAATGTGACAAAGCTTTTCTTTATGTTGCCCACTACAAACCTTTAAAACCCAGTAATAATTCCAAGCATAGCAATACAACATTTGACGACACTTTTCAAGGAAAAGGTACGGAAAGTTCTCTAGCTAAATTCAAAGACTTGATCCAAGATGGATTAGTTAAGGATTTAGGCACTGTCTGCACCAAATATGACGCGGCTTTTAGGAAATATGCAGGTAAATTGATTACAATCTGTTTTTACATTTTCATATTTTTCTCATTAGAAGATTAAATTTAATATTAAGATGCATAGATGTAGTAACATCATGTTATTTATATAAGTACTTACAACCTGAATACTTTGTTTTGCTAAAGAATTAGAAATGTTGATAAAAGTTAATCAATTTTTTAGAAATATGCCCAAGTCTTTCTCTGTTCCCCTCTTCTGTGATTGAGGAATTTGATCGAGCCTATGACAACATTTTTGGGAGCAACCTAAAAAATAATTCAACAGACACATCTGTAGCAAACAAAAGGCGAAGCATTAGGCAAAAGGCGGTTACGAACCAAAATGCGGTTTATAGAGGAAGCCGCAAGGTGCTAACGGCAATGGATCTGAGTGAAGGGGAGAGTAATTCTGATTGAATGCCACAGTTTGCTTGAAATATTTATGCTTTATTTTATTGTTAATATATTTTCGTACATAAAACAAATAGTTCGATATAACTTCTGCATTAATTTTTTATCTATCAATATAACATACATATTTACATATTTTTTACATAACACATAGTAATTTTATGATTGATTTAGCACCATTATCAGGAAAAGCTAAACTTCGATGCTTTTCCTTTTGCACCAAGTGACCCATATCCCTACTACTAACTTAAAAAAATCATAATCACAAGTAAACATAATTCCAACAATTCATGACATCATGACGCAATAAATGAAAAACAAAGTCAGTCTTGAAAAGCAAATATCTAGTTTAAGGACAGTCAACTGATAATGGCAGCCAACCGCACATTGATAATAATTATTTTTGCTACAGTACAGTTTACTTACTTTTATCACCAAACCAAATTAAAAAATTTGCATTGTCGCGGTAACATTAAAAATTGGCAAGATTGTCCTTGGATAAGAGGTTATTAATTTTTTTTTCAGTTATTATCTAATCAGGATAAAGTGGTTCTTACGACAGCAAGTATATAAGTTCTGTATATAAGTTTCCCAATTAGGAAGAAAACCATATAAAAATTCTATTTACATGGTACAATATTTACAAGAGTTCCTTAAACCTTTCCTTGTATATGTTTTCTCTGTGTTTGGGATTGAAGACATGTTTGATCTGTTGCTCCACTCTCAAAACCCGGTCGTTAAATCGAGACCGGTCCCTGGCATGTTGCTCCCAGGGACCTTTTCGCGCTGCCTGATAAGCGTAGGACCATTTTATCATGGGATGCACGTCACATAGTTTATCGTCTGATGCAAACCTAACCTATGTGTGGAAAAAATGCTATATTAACAACTTTGTTCTAAATAAATGACACCATTCAGTTAAGTACCCATTATTGAAGTACATTTGGAATTTATGATTTCCCACATGAATTCTGAAGTAAATTGATGTGAAAAACAATGTAGCATACCTTTTTGGGTTCAACAATTGAATAGGACGATTCATCTCCACTGCTATCATCTTCACTACTACTTTCTTCATCGATATCACAGCTTGATTCAGATACAGCATCCTCTCTATCAAAAATGATAAAACTGTCCTCACTCTCGCAAAAAGAAACTTGCCTTTGCCTCCAACACCTTGGTTTTTGTGAATCTTCATTCTCAACAATAAAATTGTCATCGCTCTCAGACTCTGACAGCTGCCTTTGACTGCATGGAGGGGATTTGGTTATGGTCAGCACCATTTCAGCTTTATTTACAAAAGGTATCTCAATTTTAGTACTTTTACCAGGTGGCTGACTTACAATAAAGTCCTTAAGGGTGAAGGTACGCCTTTTGGGGCTACAATTAACCTCTGACTTCACCCCGTCAAAATCTAGTGCTAACATTTCCTGTAATTGTTGCTTGGTTTGGTTTTGTTTGGAATTTTTACGAGGTTCTTTTAACCTGCATGATTTTTCTTTCCTCATTTTCTTTATGCTAGGGCTACCAGTCTGTTGGGGGTCACCACACGAAATGATTTCAGGGCACTTCTCTTTAATTGAAGTGATTATTTGCGAACAATTTGACTTCTTAGCTAATGTGTCAATAGAATTGACAACATTGTTGACGAAATTGGAATTCTTCAATTCTTTCGCGGGAATAATCGGTATCATTTGTGGTATCATGCTGAAACCACGCTTCTGATGCGATTTAAAGGGCAAAAAAGCGTTGCCCGAGGGCAACAAAGTGTGCGACCACATTTTACACAATTTGTTTCTCGATTGTTAATAACAACAATGTCTAATGCAGTCTCTTGTGAAACGTGATTTGTGGAGGACGTGCCGTTTCCAATGTGTCGAACAACAATCGCGTCCTTGGCGTGTCCACAGTAAAATGGGTTTCTTCTTGACAATGTCCTGTTTCACGCGGTATATTGTTGTAAACGGAACACTAATTTTACTCTCGTCCGCACTTGATATGTCAGTAAAAATAAAATTGGCCATTTTGACGAATTACTCGCAAGAAAACAACATTCACGTTCAATACACTGCCATTTTGTTTTTAACTGAGAATTAAACGGAATTTTACCAATCGCGTAGTCGCGTGTGAGAGGGGAGTCGGTTTCTCCGAATGAATCCGAGAATTTCCGAGAATCGCGACAGCGTCGCTATTTTTAAGGAACATGGTGGTCGGCAGGAAGTCGTGCGTTAGTGTGTTAACTAGCATTGTGTGAATCATTCATTTTACGAGGACCGAATCAATCAGTGACCGATTTCTAATAGGATCAATTGTTCATTTCAATCCTTTTTGATGCCAACATAAGTGGCAATAGTCACTGAATCCGAACAGTCCGAACGACCGATTCAGATTTATTTGAATTTTAATTATTGTTGTGTCTATATGTTAAATTTTCTGTTCTAGTTAGTATAATATTTAGCTGTGTTCTGCTTTTTATTAAATCATGATTTTATCAAAATAGGTGCTACATATTGGGTTGTGCCAGTAATACTTTAATTTGTTTATATTAAATACCTGTCTGGAAATAGATATTTCATTCAATATTCCATTCAACACAAGAAAATCTACCAATCGATGTCGCAACTCAATACTATAGAATAATTATAACAATACTTCCATTCCTTTTTGCGTGGCGTGTCTTAGTCATGCATTTAAATCTTAAACCATTCAAATGAATCATATTCCGGCGAATTCGATTTGTTTTGGTACGGTCGGTCGATCGGTCGTTCTGTATTCGGTCACTTCAGACCGGTCAGTGCGGCAGCGACAACGAACAAGTTGCATTCGATCGTTCGGTCCTATGAAGTGATTGAATAAAAGTGACACCGAAACAATCGCGATTGACACAATTCTAGTGTTAACTGAAATTTAGAATAATTTTGCAACCTCCCCATATTTTAAGACAATTTGATTTTCTTCCCAAGAATATTGAAAAAATATACTTTTTCGAACTGCCCCTGTTTACATTACATTTCGTGATTTTCATGTTCCATGCATTTCGATGAATTAACCATCATTTTTCTTGAGGATTTGGAAAGCATGCGAAACAATTGCGATTGACTATGCTGATAATGTTAATACAGGCGCCTCTGAAGCCAACATCAAAAAATGTTTTTCAAGGAAAAAGGTTTTTGAAGATAGCTGTTTAAAAAGAAAGTTGCGTAAATGTGTAAAATTTATAGGTATGTATGAATATCATATAGCTATTAGATAAAATAGTGATATTTCCGTAGAAAAGGTTAATGCGCATGCCCCATTTAACCCAAAACATTTTAATTAAGCATATTTTCGCATCTGTCAGCGGCCATGTTGGTTCTCGAGTGCTTTCCATAGTTGCTTCATAAGTTCCTGTATTATCGGCATAGGCAGGTCTCTATATCTGTATTACTGATATGATGAAAAGGCCATAGTCCTCTGCCATTGTAAATTATATTTCTCATTATAAAACTTTTAATTTCCTCAGTTGTTAGTGGCAACTACTAATTTTAAAATAATGAGAATATAGACTTGAGAAAAATAACGCTAGATAAAAGCGTGGACAATGTTAAGGAGAGGTTAGAAACCTTGTGGCATTGATAAATAAAACTCCAATGTTATTAAGCTAATATTTTATAATTAATATCCTTATATTTTACAAATATATTACAATTTTACACTGACTTAACTCGAATAAGTGGTATAGAAAGATATATTGTTAAAAATTGTATAAATTTTAGTAAAAAAAAAACATTCGATTCCATTTCAAATTGTTTTTACACCATCACTCGCACTGATTGTAGGCATAAAAATGATAGAAGAAAAGAATAATTCATCGCCCTCTTTTATCACCCCACTCTTCCGCTAACGGTTTTCGTTTTTATTTTTGATGTGGCGATAGAAGAGGAACAAGAGCAAAGCAAAATAAGCGCAGAATCGAATCGACAATCGATGGAATGCATTCTAATTACAAATCGTGTCAGAAAACTTTATTTAAACAAACAAAAATATAGCTTATACAATATACAATAAGTCTCAGTCCTGTTTTTCATTTACGAATACAAAATTTACAAAAAATTTCTTAAATAGACGTTAGGCAAAGTGTTCTTGAGCAACACGCACTAAAAGAGTTAGTTAAGTACAACGAATCGCAAATTTTACAATAAGGGAACGAAAGTAAATTATGGCGTTTTAGCCTTAATAAAAGGTCCAACCCGCCCTCTATCCATTAACAAATTAAAAAACATTCAATTATTGCTATCTCCTCTGGATATTAGTTACTCTTAGTTTAGAATTAACCCTTAGACGACAGTCTTTTTTTATTTAATTTACTCGTTTTTATATCTACGGACAGTAATTGTACATCAATTTAACTATCTAGTTTAAGTTTTCCTTTGCCGACGACAAGAAGTTGTACGCGTAACAAATGAAATTATATGGGGGAAACCGTTAGCCGGTCAAAAAGCTCAAAAATATTTTTTTGTCTAGCAAACCAAAAAGTCTCGTCATTTCTGAGAGTAGAATATCGGTCAAGTCAAAGTCTGCGCGAAAAATCAACCGCGATCGTTGAAAATATCATAAATCTTTTAACATTTATTATTTACAATCAACACTGAATTTGTAGAAAACGTTTTTGATGTATTAGCCACAGATTAATTAGTGGGATAGGTATACTAGTTTTGATTGTTAATTTAAAAGAAAATCGACGGAATTAAGGAAACTTCCATTTAATTGGAGGACATGCGGTATAAACATCTTATTCGTTAACTTGATATGTGAAAAAATAATGCTTATCTCCTCTCGTTTACGCCTATAAACAAACCTCGTGTGTTTTCTCTTTTTTTTTACGTTTTGGTGTTGTCCCTTATTTTAATTGTTCCATACAAAGTAATGTATTTTCGACAAAGCTAAAAATTGAATAAATTAATAAAACGAAGCGACGAATAGAAGTGGGATATAACACTGTACAGAAAAACTATAATATTAAATAGAAAAAATCTTAAAACCTACCAATATGTATACGTATTTAAATAGATGGGACGTTACACGAAGCGATACAAAACCTTGGGTATAAAAATCTATAAAAGTATGTATAAAAAAAATCACAATCTATGTATTTAAGTGTCTTCGACCACCCCTTTTGATTTGCTCCAAAATACATATTGTTCACTTGTAAAAATTAATATAAGCACGTAAGCTGCCATTATTAGGTTAAAATATTAACAACAAAATCACTGGTAGTTTATAACGGTTGGATTTTTTGCCGTTTTCAGAGTTTCACGAGCGATACCGCCTGGACGATGGACGGTCAAATTTCGCGAAGGTCTGATTGAAACGTGCCCCGATGTCTGATATTATAATTGAAAGACAACAAAATTACGACTAACTAGTCTATGCATACTTCTTTATCTACTAGCATTCAGTGGCGGCCGATGCGAAAAATTTTAACGGGGTCTGCACTTTTTGTAAAAAAACTTACCGTATAATTGAGCCCTAATATTGGTTGACCCTAAAAACGTAAATTCCATACGACTATCTTTTAACCTTAAACGCTCTACTAGATCGCTGATTCGTATTTCCACAAGTAAGCAGGGAAAACAATATAGAGCCTTTTTGGTAATGGTATAAGCAATTATTGATATACCGTGTCAATTTTATCATTATTTAGCGGAATAAAAATAAAAACGATTGTTCAGAATTTAAAAGAAATAACGAAGAATTCACGCTCTGTTTTATGGACCGAATTGTGCTTTTTTTTTTTTTAAACGTCAACCTTGGAAATTGTGTTATTGTGATGTCGATTTTAACAGTGTTTTGTACTGATTTTATTGACATGTATATAGACACAGCTATTGTATTTTTATTGCCCAATTTTTAGTTTTAGTTGGATCTCCGTAAATCGCAGGTCCCTATAATATGTTGATTTATAGTCATTGCCTACAATAAACTGATACACGTATTTCGTGAGTGCCGAGGACACAATGAGGTGGTTTATTGTGAATCTCCGAATTATTGTTTAAATATTTAATTAATTTCGGTTGCGATAATTTTTTTATCAGGGAGTACCGTCGGATAAGTCGATTGAAGCTCTGAAAACGGCGTTAGCACCCCCGTCCCATTTCACTAACACCCCGTGTCATTTCAAACTAAAAATCCCTCGTTACCGTTGACCCTAATTTGGGCGCGTATGTTCTGTACACTGTTCATTATTTTCTTTTGGTGGCCGACGAGCGTGATGCCCATCTCTGTAAGTTCTTTCACGGTCAAATTCACTACCGCGTCCATGCTGTTGACGCCTCCCGCGTGGAAGTTCTCCAAGTACCGCGTCATCTTGATCGAGTTCAGCCACTCTTCGACCGACGTGAATTGGGTTAGGTCGGGGGCGTCTGCGGACAGGGGGTTGGTCGAGCTGCGAACGTGATGATTATTGAAATATCGTAGACATGAAATTTGTTCGATTTCAACTGGGCGACGGTTGAGCGGCAGGGAGAGGCGATTGTATTTGAATGTGGTTTTCGGTGATTGCCTTTGCACAACATGTTTCATCTTTTCTACGGGAGATGCATATAATTTTTTTTTTTTAATGTAAACAAAAATTCTGCTTACTAAACAGGGTGGCAAGGTGTTTGAAAATTCGTATCTTCACATTTAAGTTTCATTGACACTTAAAAAACGCGAAACTAACCGCAACATGCGCTAAGGATTGTAAATTGTGGTTATAAATGTAGCGACCCCTTCAAAAGCTTCGTTTGGCCTTTTTTTTAGATGGCCTAGGTTCGCAGAACGTTTGGTTTGCCATTTTCAGTGGACATCAAAATCAAAATTTCTATTGGAAAATCGTGCAAACGAGACTATTAAATAGTTTCAAACAGTCATTTTTGTTCTAGGTAATACGGGTATTCAGCACGCATCTACTAACACTAGGGCGGTCAAAATATTCTTATTGCGTTATAGTGCAATACAGGTCGGGAGATCACAATGATATCACAATGTATATTTTAATATAATTTACCATAATGTTATTTATTACAGTCAAAAGTTGTTCAAATTGTGACGTAAACAGTTGTTATTACCAAGCTTAAAGCTGACAAGATTACCAAATTAAAATTTTGGCCGAATTTTAATACCTTTGAAATGATTAAAAGGCGAATTAAAATTACGTAACTTTACTTGCCATTAGATAATGAAAAATACATAAATATAACGTTGGCAACTCGTACGAGAGGTCGATGTACACTTCACTTGAGATGATATCAATTAATATCAGTTTTAGTTGCCTGCTCAATCGTAATCAATCGATAAAGAATTTGTTTTTTATGAGCCTTCAGTTAAATTTATATTTTTACTAATTAAGTGACATGACACTCTCTAAGGCTGAACCACCCACGTGATGAGGCCAGTCGGTTTGTCTTCTATGCTAATGTTACGAATATCTATTCAATTGACGTATCAAATTAGGCGAAAAGCTCACCCTCTAAATACTTATGCAACAAACTGCAGCAACCAGAAAAGGCAGCAAGTCTTATCAGCATATTTGTTGCTGTGTGAAAATCGGGCTTTACGCCAGTTCCCTTATAATTTTGTTGTAGGTGTAATTAAAAAAACTCGAATCTTCGATGAGTGATGACGAGTGATATTTCGACCACTCTCGTACGTCACGGATAGATTACCCGTCGCACTAAAACGTTATGACTTGATCTAGCCCTAGTGCGAAAACTGACCAATCAGATTTTAGGATCATAATTTTATCCTGTGCCAATACAAATACAACGGCATTATTAGACACAAAAATAAACTTCGAAAAGGGGCGTATGTAATGTTGGCAGGATGCAATTTTCAATAAATGAAAACTTTTGAAACCTTGTACTCACTAGTAAGAAGTATACCGAGTATGCTTCGTTAGTCTGGTCTCTCCTTTAACAAAAATACTGAGGAAATAGAAAAAAATCAGAAGAATTTTTTATGGTCTGACATACCATATCAAACTTCAAGTAATTCGTTACGAAACGCTAGAATCAAGACGGAAGAAATCTGCATTAACGTTCTTTTATAAATTAGTTCATTATAAAATTGATTGTTCTTTTCATAAGCATAAGTTTCATAAATAGAAGTAGCGTATTTTATTAAATACCCCGTACCAATGTCGGCGTTAACTCTCCACTATTCCGAATGTGTGGTTTAGCAAACAGTTTAAAATACGAAGTGGACGTTTTTAATTGTACTTCCATTCATTCAAAAACCGCATGAAAAAAATTTCATTTAAAATCTAAAGTATTCTATTTGGAAAATTTCACGTCGGTGGTATTTTTTTAGTTCATAGATTGCGATCACGTGCGATTAATGTAAGATTTGGTTTTGTGATCTGTTATTGGGCTGTGAAGTCTGTTGATTGCAATTAAATAAATAAAAAAATGGTTAACGGGTTTACCAACTTGTCGCATATTTCCTTTTTTACGTCGGTTAATTTTTTTGATACATTTTTGCAAAACAACACGAATACATGTAATTTTTTACTCCCTTCTGAAAAATAACCTAATTATATATTGATCTAGCGTGCGGATGTGGTACCCAAAAACTAACGGTCGTAGATAAAGTATAGTATGCAACACGTTTGGTTAACTTCTGAGTCACTCGTTTATTAAACACTCGTGTCAAATGAACTCGTGACTCAAATGCCGTTTACCGCACTCGTTGCATATTATACCATAACTGACATGACTGTCAGAAGTGACAAACTTCGTAGTCGTGTTCTCGAAAAGTGGCTCGGATCCGTGGGACAAGAAACTCACGTCGTAAGTGGACGCTTTCGGTGTATAATTAGGTGTTTCACAGAAGGTTGTAGAAAAAATATTGGAATAGATTGAAAACAGAAACAAGCTTTGGTTAGTTTTTTTATCTCATTTTTAGATAGCACGTTAGACCTACAAGTTTTTTCATGTCATGGGTGTTTTTTTTTTCGATGTATAGAACTTTAAGTTGGCATTACTGTTCAAGATGGCGCCCGATTTAACAGCTGTCAAGCGATTTATTCTCAGTTTGGATTGGCAATTCATCATGAATAGACTCACGCCTGAACAACGCTTGCAAATAGTGCAATTTTATTTCGAAAATAATGGTTCTGTGCGGAATACGTATCGCGCACTACGTCCATTTTATCGTCGATAAAATCGTCCATCAGAGCAGTTAATTCGATTAACCATGGAACGTTTTGGCACCACGTTTGCTCTTATTGATAACTCGCATCCCCAGAGACGCCGTACGGTGCGTACAGAAGAAGCTACTGCTGCTGGAGAGCGTAGCATTGAGGAAGACCCGAATGAATGTCCATCCACTGTATGGAAGATTTTGCGGAAGGATCTTGGTTTACGTGCTTACAAAATCCAACTCGTGCAAGAATTGAAGCCAAACGATCATCAAGTAAGGCGTAGATTCGTCGAACGGGCCCAAAACGAGATTGCTGTTGTTCCCGATTTTCATAAGCGAATTTTGTTTCGCGATGCCGCATTTGGAGCGAAGCTAATCCTCAAGTGTATGTCGAAACACCATTACATCCAGAAGAATTGACTGTTTGGTGCACTTTATGAGCTGGTGGAATCATTGGTCCGTGCTTCTTTAAAAACGATGATGGCCAGAACGTTACAGTCAATGGTGATCGGTATAGAGCTATGATTACTAACTCTGTCGGTCCTGAATTGAATAACCATGACGTCCAGGAGATGTGGTTTCAACAAGATGGCGCAACATTTCACACAGCTCGTGCCACAATCGATTTATTGAAAGACACGTTTGGTGACCTCTTAATTTCACGTTTTGGACCTGTGAATTGGCCTCCAAGATCTTGTGATTTAACATCGCTAGACTATTTTCTGTGGGGCTATGTAATGTAATCTATGCGGATAAGTCACAAACGCTTGACCATTTGGAAGACAACATTCGCCGTGTTATTGCCGATATACGGACGCAAATGTTGGAAAAAGTAATCGAAAATTGGACGAACAGCCGTGGCGGTCATATGCCAGAAATCATATTTAAAATGTAATGCCACAAGATTATCTTTCGGATACATAAAATTCATGTCAATCGAATAATCCATCGTTGTTTTATTGCAACTTAAAGTTCTATATGTCGAATAGAAACACCCCTTACTACTTCCGACATTTCGCATCGTGGCTAGATGAAGGGTCATAACTTTGCACTGCACCTTCCATTCCACCCTGTGTAGAAGCAACCGCCGACACGTTTATTATGCGACAACGAAAAGTCACCAAAACCACGGCAAATCGAAATTAGAAAATGGGGTTGGGTGGGGGGCAGGGGGAGGGCATGCGCATGCAAGAATATGGCAAGCAACATACGCACATCCACACGCACACAAGTAAATAAAGCAACGTGTACCTTCGAAGGGGGGGTGCGGGTTGACTAAAAAGCGCGTGTATTTACAAATTGGCAAAATCGACCCAAGCCCTCGTTTTAGTAGGTCCCTCGCTCGTCCCGTAATTTCCGTCTTCGCGTCCAAACAACTCCGCCGAACTGCCGTCGGCGCCGAAATTATTCGAGAACTGGTTCGTGCATTTCGCCGAATAGTTCGACGGTTCGCCCGCGTAGACGCACTGCGAGAACACCTCGTCCGGCCGCTTATTATCGAAAAATTTACTGTCCAAGTTGGGATAATAATGCGGTTTTTGGTTGAAAAAATTCGACGAGGTAACGCTGCTCGAGGAGCCCTCGTATATGTGTTGTCCGTCGAAGTTGCTCTCGAGCCATCGTTCGGTATTCAGCTGGTTCATCTGGTGGTTGTCTCCCGTCGCGTTTTCTTCTTGCAAATTCAACAGGCTGTTGAATCTGCGTTTCATCTCCTGCTCCGCAACGTTGTTCCTATACTGGAACCTACGCTCCATCTCTTCGTGGGCGATGCAGTACGATGCGAAACCGTAATTTTGCAGTAGAATAACGTCGGGCAGACCGTATCTACTACCGTTCTCGGTTGTGTGAAAATTCCGCGGCCTTTGCAACGAACCGAAATAAGGGTTGCCGGTGGGCAGTTCGGGGGTAGTTTGGAGGTGCAGAAATGGTTGGTTTGGTAAGTGCCGGGGGTTGGGATGGTTAAGCGGTAGCGGTCTTCTAAAAACGGAACAGCGTGAATGAAAAAGAAAAGTATAAGCGGTGCGCATTTAATTTCTTGTTAAACACATTCTTTTCAAATGTATTAATTACAGTTATACATTATACAGACGGTACGATTTGTGCTGGCATAGTCAGGAATAAAATGCCAGACGGAATAAAATAGATTGTTATTCTTGTTGCTATCTATATTAAATTACACTGGTTGGCAATGAAATCCTCCTTTACAAAATTTTATGATAAATATAATGATTCAAACTGTTTGAATCTATCCCCGTTGTTTTTTTTTTTTTCAATTTTTTCACTCGTCAACGCTCCAAAAAGTAAATTTACATACAAAATGAAACGTGTAGAACATGTCATCGGAGAAGAAAATATTTACGGAAGTCGACTAGTGTCAGAAGTATTATTGACTCTAGTGACGAAAATGATTATTTTGATGTAGAAAAATTTTTTTTTAAATAAATATTCTAACATTGCTTTGTAGCTAAATTTACTCCTTCATTTATATTTATAGTAAACGTTTTAAAGTAAGAATGGATGATTTTTCACCGCTTGGATAATAATTGAGAAATCTCACCGATGAAACCGTACATAAATCTGTCAGCTTTCAGCATTTGTATGCACGAAGTACCGAAGTACGGTCCTGGATCGGCATTGTGGAATTGCGAATCTATTTATAGAAAGAGAAACCCAAGCGAGGTAGGACCGCGGCGGTTATACCTTCATAAAAATTTACCAAAGTTAAATACCGGATTATGTCGCAAAAGCCGTATATTGTTTTGGAGAACTTCACCATTATATTGGTGTATTCTCTTTTTCCGGTATTGTTTTACTACATTTTTTGTATGTATTATACATCCAATTTTCTTCGATAACTGGCTGGAACAGATACTGCTGCAGTATGATCGTGCGTCTCACTTACAATATTTTTATTAAAAAAAAAATGCAGTGAGCCCACACCAATTCTATGGTAAGAAGACAAAATTATTTCGTCTGTAGCATACAACAAGTTTGTTTTGTAACTTGTTGTGATTTTTAGATCATTTTCTCGGTAACTATTCCGCTCATTGCGCAGCCAATTGATAATTTCTTATTTTCTTGTCGACGCATTTGGTACACTCTGACCAAGTCTAGAATGACACCGTGCATTATCCACAATAATTAAAGACGGCCTTTCGAGATTCGGTAGCAAAAATTCCGATAAAACTGCAAAAATTATTATAATTTACTTTTTGTTCAATTTTTATTTCCAATTCATTAATCCATAATTAAGAAAATGAGGATAATATTTATTTTTCTATTATTCTATTATATTATTTTTGGTAAATTCGTAACCAATAATGCGAGTCTAAATGAATTAGATAAAATCGATCACTTGTTCGGTTATATTCCGCGAAAATAGCTATCGACGTAATTTTTGGAAAGAAATGTCAAAAACCTACTAACAGAATTTTTTTAAAACACAAAGTATTTATTGTTAGTAAGAATGACGGGTAACGGTGCGAAATTGGAGCAGAAGCGATTCATATATTTTTTAAAAATATCGGCATTTTTCGAGATTTAATGAAATTAGTCCAGATCCATACAGCACAACCTCGATTATCCGGGGAGGCACTAGACCAATAGATACAGTATTCAAAGCATTAAAAAAATATGAGGTTAAGATTAGGAAACATTTTTCTGGGTGAAATGTGAAAAGTGAAATTTATAATGAAGGTTTACTTTCCACTTGCATAAAATTCATATTTTTCGACAAACGATATGACAACAAATTTTACATATGGTGGTTGTGTTGCACATTTTAGATTATAAAAAAGGGTTTTTCGTTTCATTTTGATTTCGTTTTATTACTGATATTCAATGTTAAAAGTTTTGGTTAGTCAGTTATCTTCAAATTCGATCAAAAATCAATCAGATCCGCCTTCTTCTTCTGTGAGTCATGTATTTATTGGCAACATTCTGAGATTTTAAGACATTGCTATATAAAAGAAAATAAAGGAATTTTTAATAAATACAGCAACGAGGTACCGTCAGACAAAAGTACTTATAAAAATAATATAATATTATCAAACAAGAAGTTTCCTGCTAAATATGTGCGGAATAAATAAAAAGGGCTATTGTCTAAACAAGTGCCACTTAAAATTTACTGTTTCTTATCACCTGACCTTCTTGATTTTAATGAGCGAATTTGCCGATGTTTAAATTTATGTTTGAAGAAAAGTCTATTACCGTTTTACTTCTCCGAAATCCTTTTCTAACTAGAAAAACTGAAATGCGCACCGTCGAAGTTATGCTGTATGTACCTTTTATGCTGCAACTGATACAGTACTTGATTGTAAATATTCTTATTCCGTGAGGCTCGAGAATTTAGTTTTCAAAAACATACACCATTTGTGCATTTTGAAAGTAATAACTTGATTAAAAACTACCACCTACATTATAGGGTTGAAAAAAATGTGCCACGGATCCGGTGCAAAATATTAAAGCGAAACTGTGCAAAAAAATGATGAAACTTACAACATGTAAAGCATAGAGTTTCTCATGCTGCAAATAAACACATAAAAATTAAATACACGTACAACATTGCCGAAAAGTTTGATTGACTCGACACCTAAATTTGATATTTTCCATCCTGTGTCAGAACTTTCGGGTTAAATTCGTCGACTATCGTCCGTTTCATACGTTTTAAGGGCGGGGGGGGGGAGTATTAAATTCTGCGGGTACTCACCGGTTCTGAGCAATTTTCCTTAAAGTATCGGGAACTCGAATTAACTTATCTAACGTTTTTACAATGGACTGGAATGTGGGCCTGTGGGTGCGCTCCTTCTGCCAGCAATCGAGCATCAGCTGGTAAATCGCTTCGGGACAGTCCATCGGCGCAGGCAACCTGCCGTACACCAAAACCGTACAATCTTAACCTACCAATAACGCCCACGGACTTTACTCACCGATAACCCTTTTCTATGCTCTTTATGACGTCTTGATTCGACCAGTTCCAGTATGGTCGTTCTCCATATGACATCACCTCCCAGCAGACGATGCCCATCGACCACACGTCACTGGCCGATGTAAATTTCCGGAACGCTATCGCCTCGGGCGCGGTCCATCTCACGGGGATCTTTCCACCCTAGACAAATTTAGGTTACATTCGAAATTTACTCAACTTTGTCTTCTACTATGTGAGCAAAAAGGATGAAAAGGTGCTAAGGGCTAAATAACTAACTAAATAGAGGCACTCCGACTTAAATTACGATTTCTTTAAGAATCATCACTTATATATTGCCCTTGAAATCCTGAACTATCTTTTCAACAAAAAGAAGTTCTAAAACAATTGTTTAATTTCATTTTGAACAGAATTTTTTTTATTTAAAACATAGTACATTCTCCACAATGCTTCTTCCACCGATTTTCCAAGGATTAACTAAATAAAATCATTTTAAGCAGAGACCAAAACATCACAAAAGAAAGGAAAACTGAAATAATCATATGGTACATTTGAACTACTAAGGAGGACAACGATATGTGATTTTTTAACCTTTCAAAACCTACTTCTCATGAAAATTTATTTTCCGACATGTACTTTTATATATTTAAAATAATATAACTCTATATTATTCTTCCGAAAATTAATCGGTTGAGATAGATTTTTGTATACATAATTTTATATTTATTTACTTAAAAACGAAAAATCGTTTAGAACAAGCATATTAAAAGAGAATTTTAAAAATTAACTTGATTTGGGAAAACATCGTTGGGGTATTATTTTTCTTTTTAAACCGAACCAAACCATTATTGCAATAGACTAGGTAAAGTGGCCTTAAACATATTTTCAAAGGAATAGAGAAATTTTTCTTTCGGAAGTGTATTTTTTGTTTATTAATTAATTTCGAACTCTATCTACTTGAAAACAAAATCTTTTTTCGTGTCTTTTATTAACATTTAAAATGAAAAATCACTCCCATCAATACAAATCATCTACAGTTACAGTTAGTTTTAAAACATTCATCTTTTGGTTGGGATATCGTCGTTACAAATACTGTTTCCATTTCTAATATCAGAATTTCAAAAGCTACGGCGGAAAAACGACGAACTCACCCTTGTGGTGTACGCCCCTTCGGTGGCGCTTTCGATCTCTCTGCTTAGGCCAAAATCGGCTATCTTACACACTAGTTCCGCGTTAACTAATACGTTTCGGGCGGCCAGATCCCTGTGCACATAGTTCATTTCGCTCAGGTACTGCATACCGGCCGCGATGCCTCTCAGCATGCCCACCAGCTGTATCACTTTGAATTTGCCGTCGTTTGCCTAAAAAATTTACTACATTAGCGGCCATACGTATAGATATTGCCATGTGCATAGCACGGACGATTTTACTGCTTCGTACGTACTGCGCGCCATCTACATATGGAAAGGCGAAACCCCTTGCTTCTGGGCATTTGGCGATTTCCAGATATTCAAATATTTTTTTGTTATACGTGGACTTTAATAACTGCTAATAGTAAATTCTTTATTTTTGTTCTATTATAGAATAGATTTTGTTTAGATCGAGTGATGTATGGGGGTAATTTTTTACAAGGAACTGTAAAGCTAGATAACCTCAAAATTGTGTAAGTCTGACATTAAATATGCGCGTGCGTCAGTTATATCAAACGTCGCTTTTAAACTACAATAAACTTTCGGTGATCAACATGGCCGTGGACGGTTAGTGAGTTTTTCCTTAATGGTTAGTGCGTAAAATCCACGTGCATGCTCGGTAAAGCATTACGTCATGTCAAAAATTATCATAGCCGTTTAAAATGTAACAGTGTTACCATATTTACTGCTGTTATTTTATCTAGTTCCACAGCAAGATGGTTTGTTATAGTCGCTAAGTACTTTTTTAAAATATTTGTTGGACCCAATTTAAATTTAAGACTATACAGGGATTACAAAATCTTTAAAATTTAAATTATTTAATATCTTTTCAAAGAGATTTGGAAATAGTGTACATAGAGCTGAGTACACATTTTTGATAGCTGTCAAAGATCGAATTTTGATATGTTCCCCTATAAGTGACAGATGTAGCTTACATATTTTTGACAGTTAACCAAGAACACTTTTGGATCCTTTTATTTCGACGCCAGCGCACATCGGCAATACATACCACAATCAATATAAAATTATAACAGATTAAAAAATATGTAAAGATTTTTCAATTATTCCACCATTAAGGAGCATTGGAATGAGTATATGAGTATATGTTTGTTGGATTGATTACGTGTGTTGGCATACCCTTAAAAACGTGTCCAGAGAGCCGTTCTCCATGTACTCGGTTATAATCATAACCGGGTTGGATTTGGTGACCACCCCTTGGAGGAAGATCACATTGGGATGCTCGAACTGACCCATTATCGACGCTTCCGTTAAGAAATCGTTTCGGCTCTTGTCCAGAGAGCCGGCCTTGAGGGTTTTTATGGCCACGTCGATGTCCGCCCCGTTCATTTTCAGTTTTCCTTTGCACACGTCGCCAAACTCGCCGCCGCCTACAAATGTAAACGTCAATCCGCGGACGATCGTTTCGTTTGCTTACGTCACTGACCGATAATGGCCTCGATGGTTATACATTTGGCGTCTATTTCTCTAGCGAACTCCCTCACGGCCTGGTTCGGATCCTCGTAGGTGTGAGGATCGATATACGTCCGCGAGGAACCGCTGATTCCGGTAAACAGTGGCGTGGTCACTAAAAAAACAAAACTTAGGGCGGGGTTCGGCGATTCCGTGTGGAAAAAGTAACCAAACGAAAAGCAAAACAATTACCGTTGGTATGGGTGGTTACAATGGGAGGGTTGTCCAAGCTGGTGTGGTGAACTAAAAATATTGCGGAAAAAACAAAACAAAAAAAATTAAAAATCGAATCTGTCGTTTGATAGGCGGAACCCAAAACCAACCGAAAAATCGTTAACAAGGAGAGGGGAAAATGGGTTATTTAATACTAAACCTACTTACTGTACGTAACTACCAGTCCTGGATGTTAGAGGTGGCGTGAAAGTGCAATAAGGGTGGCAATGTTAATCTTAACGGGTTATAGGTCGGAGGTCACATAGCACTAACATGACGTACAACTAGCTCTAAGTGGCGTGTTATTCTCGATCTCTTTTTTTAGTTTCCAGCAAAACTTGTAAATGTTTAAAAATAATAACCGCTATTTCGGATGTGATAAGAATATCAAAAATTAATCAAAAGTAAGTTAAAAAAGAATACGACGACTGCAATCTGTGTAAAATTTTGCAATTTTAGTTTGTAATTTTAATTGTAAGGCATCAAATAAGAGACGACTTATTGAAATATCTATAACATTAGTTTGACTCAACATATTTGAACAAATTAGGTCTGGTTTTAAAGAAAAAACCTTGCTTATTTAAAGAAAACCTAACCTGTCACTAACTAGTTTTCAGTGCTCCACCTAGAGGTCGCTAATTCAAACATTTATTCCAAATACAATTATTCCAATAATGATGCTCCTTTTCTAAAAACTTCAAACCGCATATCGATAACTTCACGCGTTCAAGGGTTATTATCAAAAGAACTTTTTTTAACATTTGAACAGTTTTTATGGGCAACCAGGCCATAACTAAAGTAATAAATTTTTGCCGCATTTTAAAAGGGCTACCGTGGTAATATTTCTTTAGTAACTTATAATAAAATATTATTTAGTAAAATGCATTTTATACCGTCATGGATATAATAGTTTTCTTTGGTCAGAAAAAAGTGCCACTGTAATTATACAACATTTTAAAATTCGTAATTAAATAAATCCAAGAAGAACGATTTTCCAAAGTTTTAATTATTTTTCTCGACTTGCTTGGAAAACTGTTAACATAGGGAATAACTATAAGAGGTAAACTGCAGGCACTGGGTCTTGCTCTCGTGGAAAAAATGTCTTCGCGCCCTTGCTTTGTTTAGTTTATATATTCCAATAATTCGTTTTCACTTCTATTATTGTTTTTTCATTTTTATTATTTCAGTCTCGTATTTCTCAGCAATTATTGAATATTACGTTGATATACAGGGTAGCTCACTATTACAGGGTTCTTTTATATCTGCATTTTATCGACAAACTTTACGAGTACATACAAAAATTAGGCATAGTCAATCGATGTAGAATTAAAGTTGTATTAAAAAAAACGAAAATTTTGATTGGTAAATTATGGTCACTAGCTAAATGTCTATTCAGGAAAATATCTTCATTTTAGAACAACTTTGCAGCTAATAAAAGAAAACGCTACAAAATCCGTGTCACAAAAAGTCGCACTAAAAAATGAGAGATCGACACACTATAACGAACCTTGCACCTATAGTGTAACGTGTATCTAAAAGTCTAAACCCCCCTAAGCAAGATGCTCCTTTTCTAACTTCCCGTCTAGTCCGGTGTCACTAAACTCACCTTCTCCGTTGCGATATTCCAAAGTGTCGCAATCGCTGGGCTGTTTCTTGTTGCACTCGTCGTTGGATCTGGACCTCACAAACACCACCGTGAGCACTATAGCGGCCACCAGAATGACCACTATGACCACTATACCACCCGCCACCAGCTGGAGTCGCATACCTTCTTCCGGTCCGACGTAGGCTGCAACGTAAGCGTCTCCATACAAACCGACACGTTTTTTTTTATTCGTCGTACCTGTGTTCAACACTTGGCCGGTGGTTTTAAAGATGACCGGCGAATATTCACCCCAACCTCCCCTAAAAGTCTTGGCTCTCACTTGCAAACCGTATTCGGTTCTCTGCTTGAGCCCGGTAATGGTCACGCTTAGCTTATTGGTAACCAAGCTGGTGGAGTTGCTGTATTCGATGTCGTTCCGTTGGAACCAGCGGACTTCGTATTCGATGACTTGATCGGACTCCATGTCCGAGCCGTCGTTAAGCGAGGGCGCGTCCCACGCCAGTGTTATTTCCGTACTTTTTACCGACGTCACCCGTATGTTGGTGATGCCGCTGATTCCGGACGCTTCCGTCGTGACGACTATGTCCGCGTATTCCGGAGCCGTCCGTTTCGCCAAATGGGACACGCCGTTCTCCGCGAATACTTGAAACCTATAGGTCGTTACAGCGTTTAGGCCGCTTATGTGGATTCTGGTCTCGTTGAACGTTTCCTGGAAAGCAAGAACGACATGCCGCCGAATGAAACAAGATAAGAATAGCCACTCCCCGATGGTACTTTTTGGCACCCGGTGCGACAGGGATATACAGGCTATAGTACGCATTCCGCATATAAAAAAACTGGGTTTGGGATTTACGACCCATGTTTGATCTAACCGCGGCAATTAAAATACAGGAAAGTGGCACTTCTTATCTTGGATGGTTATTTTTTTAAAATATGTTTTAAGGGTGGATAATAATATAGCAATAATTGTTGTAATTTACTTATTATATAATTTATTATCAACAATAACGAACTTTGGATATCGAGGGAGTACTTAAAGCTGTTAAAGGTAAAATATCAAAACAATACAATTAATTTGGAATAAAGCAATTTTCGGCACATTATGGTCATTCGCCTAGGCACGTATTTATTTAAAATATGTTATAAATACGTGTTTAGTTATTCTACCGTCCGGTTTTATCGATTTTTCTTTTAAATTTTTCAAGAACCTCAGTTTCTAACAAAACTTTAGCGATTTTTTTTCTTATAAATGTAACAAGGTTGCAAAATTTGATCAAAAAGTATCCAGCTGCTTTCTCCACGACCAAGTTGGTCAAAGTTGCGCCAAAACAGTAAAACCGTAATCACTTCTGTGTTATCCAATCGCTTTATGGTTCAAAAGTGTTAAATACAATTCGAATACAATTTCAGAAATGCTTTCCGTATTAAAACAAAAAATAACGGATACTGAAGAAAAACCTGATTTCCTGGTTGGGTACTACTCTGGAATTTCTGGATCGACCGTATTTGGTCTAGTGAATATCCGAACCTTTAAATAACTCTACAAAATTCCGTTTAAATCCACTTATTAATAAAAAAAGGATTCGGCATTCGCTTTAAACTTAGGGCGTATTTTTACTTCTCAAAGGTAAAATGGGATATACCCTAACGTGAAGTGCATCAGCCGACGAAATTAACATTGGTTGATATTCGTGGGTATGATGCCATTTGTTTTACCGGTATGTAATTTGATCTTTGATTTATTTGCTATTGTCCAAATGTTTGAATGAATACTTGTGTTTTAAGCCCTCCCATACATAGATGGAACTTTTGTTACCATGGGTCGTAAGGTGTTTGTAAGGAGTCGGGGATTGAGAGGTCCATGGCGTACTGTTTTGCATTCATTCTTCATTATATCTATTATACAAAATTAAATGAGGACAACAACGTGCCCGAACTAGTTGATGTTTCAACATAATCGGAGTATACCTGGTATAAACTTCATTTTGTTGATTTACTAATAAAAATAAATTGTGAGTCAGTCGAAGTCAAAATAGAATAAGTAGATATGGCAATCTTGCGATGTGTTTGCGAATTTGAAGCTGTATTAGTTACACACTATCCCTGGGATATCAATTAACGAAGTTAATAACCACTTACGGTGGGTGGATTGTACTGTACAAGTCCTAAACTACAGGCATCACATTTTATCCTATAAACTATATCGTTCCTGCCGCCGGACTTATCCGGCGGTAACCAGCTCAGTATGACGTTCGAGTGGTCTACGAAGTTGACCGTCAGGTTGACAGGCTTCGATGGTGGTTCTGAAACGAAACCTAGGTTAAACCGTTACCGTTTGCGAGACGAAGAAACCACGTACGCGTGCAAGACATACTTCGCGGGTCAATCGAAGCCCGAAAGTGTCCCTGGTTGCATCTGCACTCCGACAGGCCGTAGTCCGGGCCTTGGGAGTGGTCCGGACATGGAAGACAGGGTCCGTCGCCCACGTCAGCTTTATACGTTTCCGGTTTGCATACTAAACCGGGAGTTATGTTATTTGGGAGGAATAAAATTTTAGTGATATACTATTGGAGGGTAGAGAAATTGGTTGTCAGAAGTTGAAACTAAAACAACTTCGAACGTCGATTGTCTTCACTTGACTTAAACACAAAATGTTCATTATGAAATGAAAATAAACTAATTCCGAAGACTACTGGGTTTGCATACTAGATGGAGCTGTTCATACTAGTTAAGTGCAGACAACTTTAAAGTTAACGTATATAGGGATACCGGCTCTGTTAATGGTTTCCAAATCGTGGGTATTTTCATGATTGGAAGCCTCTTCTTTGATCTTGCACTCCTTCCAGCTTTCTATGTCAGGCCCATCTGGTGTTCTTTATGTGCTTCAAGGTGTACATTTAGAATTATCTCTATACTTCTAAATACTTCTCGAAGTCGCTCCTGACTTGAAAACTAAAGTTAGACGGGAACAACTAAGCACAGTACAAGAAAGACCAGACAATAGAACAACTAAAATCACCAGAAAGGAACGAATAGCAATCAGAGAGCCGCAGAAGAACGGGACCAATAAGTAATAATATTGGATGCGAAGCAGTACGCGTTAGACAACTGACGGAAAAATTTATTGAACTTTGAATAGGTTTTAGAATTTCATTCCTATAACTTCGACAGATGAATGTACTATTGAGTCTCTTTTACAAATGGTTATAATTCTAATGACGTATTTTTCAATATAACCATTCTGATCATAACCACCTTGATCACTGCATATTGTTGTCTGGCAACTAAGTCCTTTTTGAAAATGGTGGTGGACATTGAACAATATCTTCAAAATGTGTTTAGTTCTTCGCAAATGAAGAGAACAATTAATTTTATCTAAGACCGCTGCTCTTGCTTAATTTTTTGAACAGCTGGTGGATCTAAGGGGTGAATGTTTGGTGGTTTGGTTTCTGCGATGTGGTGTTAGATATATTCCTACGTGATCAGTAATGAAATTTTAAAATCAATCAAGTTAAGTTGAATTTCCTTTAATTTTCTAAATAGCGTCACTGGATATTTACCTATATTCGCCATTAACGAGTAATTCATTGATTTTCTCATCATAGGTACTGCCAACATTTTACTATACAGTAGTGGTCTTGTCTTCTGAAAGAATCGTAATGATATCAAGCTCTCTCATTTATTCTCGTTCCCCTCTTGTATTGACTGTTCCCTTCTCTGGTCTCCCTAGTAGTTTTTTTATTTTCTACCTCAGTGTATTCCCCCCTAGTCTCAATACTGAAATTTTCAATTCACGAGCGACTTTAAGAAGAGCTCCGACCAAAACCCGTAACATCGAATAGAGAAAGGTTATCCATCCAACGTTGGATAATTAAGTCAGGTAAAGACAATGGAAGTGGGAAGCTCTCTTAGTTGCCACACTGAAACATTTCCTCCCACATTCAAAGTAATGCTTCCAAAAGTTGCTGGCTCTAGAATAACCGTTTCTACGTCGCTTACCATTGCAAGTCTGTTTCTCTATATCCGGTTGGAACCCCGCCTTGCACTTGCACCCGCCGGTGGGCAACGTCCATTTGCCGTCACCCTTGCAGAGGTAGATGGGAGTTCCACCGACCACTTCGGCATTGCTCACGCACGTGCCGTTCGCCTGTTCGATGATGGTGATCTCCTTGCCGGTCGGCGTGGCAGGGAACCTGGCAAAGTTGATCGTCACCTCCGGACACGTGATGTAGTAGACTTTGATAGCGAGTAGAGATATGCAAGCGCCTTGGTCTCTGAACGCGAAATAGACGCCCTTTTTCGTGACCGGTATGCTTTTCACTTCGGTGTTTATGTTGACCTCGCTGTTAGAGTTGAACCTACCCTCTCCGGCCGCTATACGACCTGCAAAAAATAAAAATTGGGATTGTACTTTACGTAGTAAAGGAAACGCTAAGTCTTTTTTGTATTTCAGTTCAATATTACGTTACATTATCTATTGTTGTCCGCAAAGGATGCAAACTGCAAATATTAAAAGAAGCTCCATATGACATCGCAGACGATACTGTAGTCTTGGCAGACCATGTGGGCGATTTACACATATGTTAAACAAGTGCAAAAATACGCCTAAACGGATCTTTAAAGAGGAAAATATTGCGCAGGCATCATCGTTTAAATATAATAAGTGCTAAATATATATAATAATAATAAATGCTACTATCGACAAACAAAATGACCCCACACGCGGTCATAATAAGAGGCTTGAGGTTTACATGCCAATATTTCGAAAAATAAATAAGAGGCATGCGTATTTACGATAACAGAAAAAATCGATAAATTTAAAAGGAGTCACGCGCCACATTCAAGGCGAATAAATCCGGTAAAATACCTACTCCGCGTATTTTTACAATCCCCCCACCACCTCGACGATAAAAACGTATATTACCCCAATAAAAATACATCGGAATCCATTACCGGTTTTCCCGTATCGTATGGGACGAAAAAGCTTTCAAGAGCCCGAATCCATATCGATATTTTCGGTGTACCAGCGTAGCAGGAGAGCAAACAAAAACCCCTCCAAATACGTCATCTACCGAATATTAAATTTTGCATTTTCGCCGTACTTATATTGAATTGGTTTTTATCGCCTTCGAAACGGCGTGAAATCGGAAGAATTTAGGTGCGGAAATTTGTCAAAACAAATGACAATTTAAATTATTGTGTTAAGAAATCAAAAAAATTGATTTTAAACACTGTGGCATTCACATCTTTTCTCTTTTGGCTATAGGCTATATCTGTTAAGCAGTGTTCACAGTATTATACCATAATATTTTATATTTATATATTATAATGATATAATAAATTCACACCAATAAGGAGATGTTCTGATAAATCTTAACTATCACATTCATAAAATAAGATTACCCGAATTTTAATGTACAAAAAGCTGTCAACGAATCTTCCCGAATAACTGAGGTGTTTTGCGGTTTTTGCGGAAGAGTAGGCCAGCACGTCAAGTGAAACCTGCTAAGAAAAGTCCAGATAGACCAGGAAAAGTCCTGGATGGAAATATAAAGCACTTTGAAGTTTGTTAACTTTTCAGTCATGTACCGGGAGGATATTTGATTTTTGATTTATTTTAAATATTCGTTATATTCATAATACCTAACAAGTTGATTTTGATGAGAATTCGGTGAGCTTCCGCCTTGTTCGTTTCGGCCCTCGACCGTAGCGGTGAGACGCGATGTATTAAAAAGCAAAAAAATCTTTTAATTTGCTCAGAGAAACAATTGTGGTGGTGTTTTTTAAGTTCAGTTAGAATATAATTTTTCACCTGTTATGGCCTCCTTTTTAGTGAATAAAACGCGTATTACAACCCAGTCAGCTTAGTGAAAACAGAAGTTTCAAAAGTGATCGATTTTTGTACCCGATAAGTACGTAATTAATAGGTTCTCCGCGTGATGCATTTCTGCGAATATTTAGCGGTAGCGGATAAAATAAGCGTTGTCCAAATATTTTTTTCTACACCCTTTTGTAAAATACCCAACTATATACACCGATGCGTGCGGGAAGCGTAACTTTACCGCATCAGTTTCGTTCGAATCCGAACCTCTTCGGACATTTCCGGGATTTTACCGCACGGATTTGCGAGCAATCGGATGTTTTCGGGGATATTACCCACTACCCAATATTACACACTCGCTCCGCTGAGTTTCGCACTTGTCAAATTAACTCTTCATTTAAATGCCGTTTACAATGGTCGTTGCACAATATTACTATTTAAAGGCCGTTTCGAATGTTCAGCAATTTAGATTCTTCCGGTTTGTGTGACATTTTATAAGGAAAGACTACATTTGCAGCTGATATCATTTTTCTCGTAGCAGAGGGAACTTGTCTTAAAATATGTCCAATTTTAAACATTTAACGCATTAACGAACATAAAAGAGTGTTTAAAAACAATAGTCTAGCTTCTAATTATGCTACACACTACAGAAAAACACATTTTTGACGACAATTTTGATATATTACACACAGCCACAAAAAGTAGAAAATTAAATTTATTGGAAGCCATGGAGATTAACAAAATGAGACATTCAAATGTATTGCTTAACGATCAATTAGATTTAAATACCTCTCTCCTTTACTGAACTTAAATTCTCGCAACAACATTAATTAAGGCTTTATGGTCATTTTTCGGTATATATAGTAGCAGGTAGTTTGTTAATATTAAATTTGATGAAGATAAAGTGTCGACGCAACAATTGTCATTTTCGTGAAAATCTGAACTTTTGGTTCTTATTTATTTTGATAAATCATCAAGTAAAAGCCACCTCAGTTCAATTATTTTTTTTTTGGTAAATTATAAAAGGGAAAACCGCATTCACTTGTTCTCATTGTGACACGTGTTAAATAAATATTAATTTATTAAAAACAATATTCAAATTCAAATAAGTGAAAAAAAGGCGCTTTTAAGGCGAACCAGGTTTGGATAGAAACGAGTCGATATCAAGTCACCTTTGGATTCGGCCGTCTTTGTTTAGATTCCTCCACAGTCGATTAATATTTACGAGCGATATTTTTCATTACCATAATGACATAAGCAAAACATGCATCCGTCACGGCTTTACGAGCTTATTGGCCTGCGTAAGTATCGTGTTACCACCTCGTAACACTTAAATGCTAACATTAAAAAGAAATGTAATTGCTAATAACCGTAGTTAATTCTTTTTAATAGTCGCGCACTTCTATTTTATTAATTGCGACCGAGCGGCGCGGTAGTGGATTAATTTCCATCAGGTAGCGGAGCCGAATGACAGACAGATATGCATTATTGGCAAATGATAATTATCGGGTCTATTGTTCGCGATTGGGACAATTAAAGTCGATGGTCTTTCAGATATTTCACGGCCGGCATAGCAAATGACGTGTCGTCGGGATCGTGAAACATATAGAACCGTTATTTCATCTGAACTGGACCTGCTTAAAGTCAATATTCGCGAACTTGTTCTCCGCTGGTGGCGCTGCTGTCAGTAAACAAACGCGGCGATAAGGAAGTGTGCTTTTCACGCGGCTGTTTGAACAAATTTTATTGAAGTACATTAATACCACTCTTTGGAATTCTTCAGCCATGAAGTGCGTCTTCTTTCTACACTTCTTTTGCCTTATACTTTTCATTGTATTATTAATTTCAGCACCTTTCCTCTCGCATAATGTGACCTAGGCAAGCAAGCTTCTTCCGATGTTCACTAGCCCTGTTTCTTTTTCCATTCACTATAATATCTCTAAATGTGTTACTCTTTCCGTTCAACAAACTCTAGGTATGCATTTCGAACGCCTAAAAAAGTCTGTTCATAGATATAATAAAGTGATTAACTGATACGAATTAAGGAAAGACCCGGGCAAGCTGTAAGAATGAAATATGGCCGAACAGGTCCGGACTTTGATTAAAATTTAATTATTTGGGGTTTTGTTAGGAAAGATACTAAACAACATTTATTTATTTATGAATGTATTTAAGTTTAAATCTAAAATAAAATTACAAATTATTTAGATTACCTACTTAAATCACTTAAAATTATTCACATAATATATCAGTATTACTATCGCTATCATCGCCTGTTCTAATTATTATTTGTTTTATATTATTTGTAATATGGATATACGATTGTTCTGCTTTTTCTATATGTTTAACAGAATTTGCCCAACTTCGGTTTCTATAAGTTTGAGGACATTGCAGTTAACACGGGGAAAAACATTGTTACGACGAATGGCAGATTTCAGTTGGTGCCAAACATGTTCCACGGGATTAAATATACAGTGGTAAGGTGGAAGCCTTAAAACTGTATGCCCTAGATTTTTTCGGATAATTATCACAGACGTATTCCTTTTGTAGGTTCAAGCTTTATAGAACTTCAATTAATTGCTTTTTGGTATAATATTCGTGAAAATAAATGTTGTTATCATACATGTAGTTTTGGATTGTTACATTTGTGTCACATGACGAAGGGGTTTTAGTCAACTCTCTACTGTGATAACTTGCATTGTCCATTAGGAGGAATGTTTCGAACTAGTTTGTTTTTAAACCAACTTTCAAATAAAGCAGCGGTGGTGTCTTCATGGTAATCCAGAGAAGAATCTTTAATATTTTTCGCAGACAGAGAAAGTCTGTTTGGAATCCAACCATCTTTAGAGCCAGCATGCAAAATAGTTACTCTTTTACATCTTTTTGATGGCGCGTTTGTTTTACACATATCAGTTGAGTCAACCCAACCCTTTTCGACGTATCATAAGTGTCGAATAATTGGCCTTTCCTAATTTTTTCTAGATATTCCAGTCGTCATTTCCGAATTCTAAAAGATTCCATTAAAACTTTCCTTTTGACAATATTTTTAAATCTAAAACTCATGTGTTGAATACACTTCCATGAGGTAGTTCTGCCACATTTAACACCGGTTTCAACTTGAGAAAACTCGAGAAAATGTCAGCATCGCTTCTTTTTTTCCTCGCTGAAATGGAGTTATTCACAATTTTCCATACCGTTGATGTTCTTCTAAAGATGCTTTCTTGCTGGCACCACGTTCAATGAGAGTCAAATAAACATTGTTTATGACTTCCTTAGTCTCAATAGAATAGTGTTTTCTACATTTGCGAGGGAGCATCTCCTGAGATACACTAGACTCGCACATATTTTGCAAAATCGGCACAAGATTCAACACACGCTGTATTACACACGAAATGAGAATGATTACTAATGAACTTAGACCAAAGAATATTAAACATAGGTAGGTAATAATCTGGTTGCATTGTATGTTAATGACCACCCATTGAAAAGCAATTGGTCACTTTCTTATATCTATGAACAGACCATACCCTGATACTTTCTCAATGTCCAAAGAATATAGAGT